ATATATATATTTGTTTCTTTACAGAATGAAGAGCTGGCGGTTTTGGCGTTGGCTGCGGCCCAAGAAGATGAAGAAGTGTGAAGGGCGTTTTCCTTCCGCAATCGATGAAGAGAGGGTCTTTTCCCCCTTTGAGCGGGAGAGGAACTCTCTTCCGTCGATTGCGGAAGGGGTTCTTTTTTCACGGGATCGCCTTCGGGAATAGCGGATGTCGACAGCATTCTCTGTTCCGCGTTGAACGGAGAGGAAACATTTCGCCATTCGGACGTGTTCCGAAAGGTGAAATGTCTCCATGTTGACGACATCATCTTTGACGCACTGAGAGGGGAGGAATGTTTCGATCATTCCTCCCTTTTCCAACGAGTGGGATCCTCTCGTTCGGTGTGGACAAAGATGGAAAGGAAAAAGCGTCGCTTCGTAAGAGATGCGAACGACTTTTTCCTTTGCTATTTCTGAAGAATATTACTAACGTAGGATAAGAAGGCAAGAGGTTTTTTCGTTTGTTTTTTCCTCTTGTCATACTTATATTTACTAATTTAGGATAAGTCTAATTTACTAATTTAGAGAAGTCTACGGTTTTTACTGGTTTATCGAACAAACGAATACGAATAGACTTTAGACCATCACTGACGCGCAATTAACTGATTGCCCTGGAAGTCAGCTTCTTACATAAACCAGCCTCCCTATCATCAAATGTCACAGCACGCCACGTCTTACGTCGTGATTTTTTGATGGAATTACAAGTGTATCGACATTAAAACAATGAAAGTATATGGTATATTTTATAATTTAACCAAATTTATATAGTTTATTAAAGATTTGTTTGTATTTTAAAAATGAAATAACGCAAAAAGTAATCGTAAACTTTTTCTCTACTTGATTTTTAGAAGCGTATGCTTTGGGGCACAATGGGACGGTTTCCCGTAAAGGAAAAGGGGAAAAAAACAAAGTCTAGTAAAAAAGTAGAACAAGGGGAGGATTGCTCGGAAGGAGAAGATAATACGACTCGCCTTTACTGCACCGAGGCTTACTCACAGTCAATTAAGGGTTAATGTTCATTTGTCGCGTGCAAAAAATGGGCTCGTATGTCTTGTACGGGTTTTGACAGCGACGATGACGATTCTGCGCTGGTTTGCGAGTTTTATAAGCAACGAGACTAATGTTTTTTTTTCTAATATTTGAGCACTAATCTCATACCCCATTCTGCCCCGAGTGAGGGGCGAAACGGGACGTGGGCAAGATTTTTTTTAATGATTTATTTTTCATACAAAATTATTGATTTTTTAAACTCTAATTTAAATAATTATGTGCCAAATATAATAAATAAAAGATGTAATGTAATATTTTTGTTATTTTTCTTTTATTGTTGACATAATTTTAACTTATTTAGCTACACCATTCCGCCCCGGGTACCCCTACATTTTTGGATAAATTCTCAAGAGCAAATTATTTTCCATTATAACAATGTGATAAAATGATTCATAAAGAATTCAACAACCCAGATTTTTCAAATATTAAACTATTTATTCTCTTTAAAAACAATAAAAATTATTATAAAACACAAAACATTTTGTCGACAAATTGATTAAAAACAGTAAAAATTTCGAGTGATGATTTCCATCACTGAAATCCATTTAAGTATAAAGCACAGGGAATACCATATTTTAAAATTATTTTTATCTTTCTGTATATAATGTATATAAACACCTTATCTTAGGCATAAAATATTTAAAAGTTGTAAAGTCAATTGCATTCATATTTGAAGAGGAGTATATAAAATTACGAGAGTTTTACATTCAAATTTTAACGCAAAATTTTATATTATTATATGGACGATAATATTCTGGAATATCCGAAGAATAACGAAACAAACTGGAAAAATTGTAAATATATTTGTGGAATGAGAAAATCTCTTTGTTAAACAAGAAAAAGCAATAAATACTTACTTTAACGATTCAATTTCCTGAAAGTTTTCTTTACCTTCAAAGAGGGAATGTCCCGAACACTCTTTCATCAATTTTAATACTTTTTTCGCAATATTTTCCAGCATTTTACGCGAACGTCTTCTAACTGTTAAATTTGTGTCCATCATTACTACATCTAAAGAGAAAAAACTACATCTAAAGAGAAAAACGATGGCTTACGCGACGTCTAAAAGGAAATGAATAAAGTAACAAACAATATAAAGTACCGTCTCGTAATGCCAACTGAAGTTTCATAACGTAAAATTCTTCCACATTTTCTGTGATATTTCTAATATCGTCTCGAAAAGCAACTAAATATCGAATTAAATTTACGAAGAGAATATCTGTGGACTCCACATTAAATAGAAAACAATTGTGTAGTCTAATCGCTCGGTAAACATAAAGAGATCTCTCGATTAGTTGCATGATTGCACCGTACACGCATGACTTCGATCTTATACACTCCTATAAAATAAAATAAAAATCGGGATTAATAAGGAAAACCTTTAATTTGAAAATTTCTATACTATGTACAGCGTTAAATCTTGAAAAGAAAATTAAATAACCTGTAAATGTCCGTTACTACAAAATTCCAAATTGTACGACTCTAAACGTTAATAACGGATAAAATCTTTATTTAAGTCCGAGCCCCACTCGAGATATGACACCCTCTCTATCGCCCCATCCCTAGATCTTTCACCACCAAAATTTAAAAGCATCAATTCCTTTAATACATAAAGCGTCCTGCAAAATTTTAGAAAATTTCCAGAAATAGTGTAAATGAAACTACTGTAATGTATATACAAAATTGATTTTAAAAATGTTTTAATGTAATTCGCGAATTTCTTTCAAAAAGCATTGATGTCAGAATGATCAGTCATTTCAAAACAAGGACTGATAAGGACTCCTTTTTAAGATACATTCGTTGTATAAGAGTCTGCATAAAATTTTCCAGGGGGGAGGAAAGCTTGAAGACAATTATATCAATAAATTTTTGAAATTAATTTAATTTTTCTCTTTTTTTAAGACAGATCCTTCTATGATGGAGGGTGCATGGTTACATATATCATTCGTTTGTTTGTTTATAAGTTACGGCAACGCAACACTTGGGCGATCCGCCTAGGGGAATGCCATCGGAGAGGTCTTTTTAAGGGTAACTGGCCCCTATTCGGCCGTTATAGAGGTGGAGAAAACCCGGAAAACTCCACGTGGCCATCCCGTCCGTCCAGGCACGAATCCACGACCGAACTCACAGTGTTCAGGGAACTGAACCGCCTGGTCCCGTATATCGATCACTTTTACGGTAATTTGTGGAAGTTTTTACTTGATTACATTGGAGGACAAGTGCTCCATTTGTTCTGTGGATGCCCATGCTTCGTCGACAACTTGGCCTTATTGTGGGGTTAATAGTGAATATCTGACATTTTATTTGCTTCCTTTGAGGAATTGGTCCGTTTGAAGAAAAAAAAATGTATATCGATTTTACATTGTTCAAAAACACGATAAAGTTTAAAAATAAACCGCGTAGAAAATATATTAGCCTTAATATAGTGCAATTTTTATTGGGCTGTAACTTGAAAATACTTGTAGAAATAAATTCACACTATCGCCCGTCTGTCTGTCTTTCCTTAATCTCGAAAACGAAGTGATATAGATAAAAGAAGAGCCCAGAAATGGAAACCTTAGGGGCAGGAGACTCCCATTAACTGTATATCAACTTTCGATGCAAACCGAAAGTCACGTTATTTCAAATCAAATATTTTCTCTTGTAAGGAGTTAGATAGATGACGGCATCACTATTGCTAATAGGAAAANTATATCAACTTTCGATGCAAACCGAAAGTCACGTTATTTCAAATCAAATATTTTCTCTTGTAAGGAGTTAGATAGATGACGGCATCACTATTGCTAATAGGAAAAGTATGATGTACAGGGGAAAGACACTACTAATTTGAGGTGGAGCGCATATATTTTAAATTAAATAAATTTTAAAAAATATGATTAAAAATTGAAGTCCAGCATTGTTACCATTTCACAATAAATAATGTTATTTGTGTTAATTTTTTTTTATCATCATCAGTTAAATAACTAATATTTGTTATACTGTTTTAATATTTAAGTTCTCCCATTGTAAACGCGTTGGACTTCAATCAATAACGTTAATTATTGATTGATTAATAATTCTGTCTCATCAATAATAAACCGCATTACTGAATATTGAAAGTAACATCTCTAAACACATACCTTTTGTTTTTCACTTAAGTTACGAAAAGTTGGAAACAAATTTATCCATTTGTAATAATATTGCTCCATATATATCAGGCATTGATTTAACGCCAACTTCCGATTTTTTTCAAAGTTAATCTGTTGATGAAATTAATAAAATATATTATAATATTTTACAGTAGATATAAAATCATAAAAGCATTTAAAATATATAATAGATATGCTACTGTATGTTAAAACATATAATATAATATAAAGCACGTGTATTTAAGAGTAGATTTTAGCAATTAAAGTATTTCTATCCAACAATGTCTAGAGGGATATGTTACAGTCACAATACAAATTTTGCACGCCGACGTTTCAGACCGCAAGGAGGAGAGTCATCGGCAGATAAAATTTAGCTCGAAAACTCACCCCTTGGAAACTTGTGGCACTGTCAGCCGGATATAAAAAATAAATAAATAAATATGTAATGCATGTATGTTATAGGTAATTCCCGTGTAAAAAAACTGCCGATGGTATGCGTGATGCGATAACTGGACAATCTCTAATTGTAACCTGTATCCACATCTGTCAACCCGGTAACATTTTCCTTGCCCTGTACTGCACATCCCGTTACATCTCTTTGTTTCTTTTGTACATCAACAAGTACCTTGTCAGAATTATTCATTAAATATTTGTATGTCTTTTTCTATTATATAGTTGTTTCTAAAAAAAGAGGTACAACAGTATTGAGAGCGGGAGATAATCTCCCGCTCTCAATACTGTTGTACCTCTTTTTTTCGAAACAACTATTGTAATCGGAATCACGACAAAACTATATTGCCTATAATAAATCCCTCAGTGTTTATTCTATTTTATTAAAACTCTTTTCATCCTGAGGGCGCTAAGAGGGCCTCTTTTTAGCAAGCCCATTATGGGTTCGGCCAGGCCCACAATGGGGCGGCCGGGTGATGAGGGACGGGGCTCGACATATAATAGAATAACACTGACGGACGGATCACCGCCATCCGGCCGTCAGTGTTATTCTATTGTAATCTAGAACTTTTCTGTTATTCATTATTTATTGTCGAGAATTATATAAAACGCGCAAACTACCTGTACCATATCAATATTGTGTGCTAAATATAATGTACACTGGATTTATGTTCCAATAAATGCGATGCAGGCCCCACGCTCTCCCACCTTCATCATCTGTCCAATCATACTTTCACCTCTCGTCATCTCCGTCCCAACCCCTTCATTCCAGGCGATGAGTAGTCTCGGTCCTTCTGCTCTTTTATGTTACTATATTCCAATTGTCATATCGTTTCATTCAAACAACTTAGTTGTCACCTGTTTTTCTTTGTTCATTTGCCACCTCTTCTACAGGACACGCAGAAGAGATTTCCTCGGTCTTGTAACGTCGGCATACAAAATTTGGTTGCGTTTGGACTGTAACATATCCTTCCAGACAGCATTCAAAAGTAATACTTTAAATACCTTTAATCACCCTGAAAGTCTTATTTTTATGACAACACGTTACCTGAATGTAATGTTATCTCATTGTGTAGGAAAAACTTAAATTATTAAACAAGTTTTCATAGAAGACTTTATGCAAAGTTTTTAAGGCCAGGAACACACATGCGTAAAATTCGGCGTAAAATCTAGCATAAAACAGAAAACGTAAAAATTTTTCTGAAATTTTGGCTGAAACAGAACTGAAAATAGAGTAGAGCGTGTCTCTACTTTTTATGCTGAAAAATTTTTACGCCAAAATTCCTCCAATAAAGAGGTCTTTCCTGTGACGTCGAAGTAGACACGTGGTTTTTATTTTAACAATGGCGGCAATGAGGGTTAACCCTACAATTGTGACGGTCTCGAAAAAACTAAAAATAAATGAAATAGAGGAGTTTATTGAGTTTATTGAATCCGTTCGACCAAATCAGTGTCATGTATAAAGACACTGTATTTAAACAACGTTTATGGATGGCTACAGGTGTTAAATTTCAAATAACAGGTAAGTCTAGTAGAATCGATATATAGGCCTAGTATTTAGATCACATGTTCTTTATTTGAATTTGGAGTACAAGTCTATTAATTTAAATTTTCTATATTATAGCAGAGGAAGTGGAGAAAAAATGGAATGTACAAAGGGATAGCCTATATGAGAGGAAAAAATTAATAAAATTAGTATTGTTGGTGGCAGTGGTGTTTTCTATTTGGCCAGAATTTTTACGTATGTGTGTTCTGGCATAAAAGCGTAAAACAGAAACTGAACCGAAAGCTGATTTCTGATTCAGTTTTCTGCCACACAATTTTACGCATGTGTGTTCCTGGCCTAACTCTGACGATTAAACAAACTACATAAATATTTTAGGTATTTAAAATTATTTTTGAATTAATTCATAACAATTTAAGATTTTAAAGTGATTTACCTGAAATGCCTCTTCATAAACAGGCACGACACATCCCGCAAAATTTGGGTTATCTAATAATAATAAACATCGACAATTTCATACTACGACCTTTCTAAATGCATTTTCAAATTAATAATCGTAATTTCATTTACCTGTGATTATTTCGTATTTCATTCCGACATCGTAACATTTGTTTAAACGACAAAATTTGCACAGTTCCTCACCATTGACGACTGAACATTTTCCACTCCAAGTTTTACAACAGAATTCTCTTATACGCAATGTATTTAATTGAAAAAATTGAGCGCACGAAGCACAAGTGAATGCTCCGTAACTATTTGATATTCCAAACCCACTATCACAGATTTCACACGTATTTCTTATTGGAGATAAATATAACACAATATCTAGAAAAAATAAAATGTTTAATTAAAATTCTTATGATAGAAGTAAAACAAACTATGACTAAAGCTTAAAAAACTAACTTAATATTAATACTATAGAAGAAGGGAGGTGATACATATAGAAAATATAATAAATAGGATTAGAAGAATGTGGTTAACAGTTAATTTGCCATTTAAAAAGAAAGTTCAGCAAACGAGTTGCTTAACTTTCCCGGCAACATTTAAAACTGAGTATCTGGTGCCACCTGTTAGGATATTTTATTAATTCCTTACCATTATCTTCCTTCTTTAACTGCTTCATCTTTCTTTTTTTCTTTTTTTTTAAATCTGAAATAATTACAAAATATTAAATCAATATGAGAATTACGATCTTTTCAGAAACTCGAAATGTACAGTTTAAGTGAACGTCCTCGGCCATTTTGATTCAACGGCAATCAACTTTCTATTAAAAATCATTTAATTATTAAATTAAAAAAACCTAATTAAATACTTACATATTTTATTTATAGTTTATAAAAATTAACGTATCGATTCAACACGATTAAAACTAAAATAAATTGAGTTAACGGTTTCTCACGTGTTTCAATTTTTGCAACAGTGCCTTCTGCTTTTCGTTTAAATATAATTTAATATTTAAAATTTTTTAGATACTTAATTTATTCAAAATTTCATAAAATTTTTGGCTTAAAATAATAAAATTTAAATTATATCAGAATTAAAATTTGATTTAATAATTATTTCAAAAATCTATATACTGTATATATGTTACTGTGAATGACCGAAATCTGGCGAATGTCAACATTCACACAGTCGTTTCGTGTATGTCCGAAATATTTGCTAAATATCGTTATTTCTCACTTACACCGGCAAATGTCGACATTCAGAATGCGCTGATGGTGAATGTTGAATAAAAATATTTTTATTACTTTAAGACAAAAATGCAACTTTTTAATATGTCAAAATAGGAGAAAGCTTAAGTAATAGTACATGTAAATAAACTGTTGAACCTAAAACGAACAGTACATTCTATATCATTAAAGAAAATAATACAATAATAAACTTACACATAAATTATGTGATTAACGTTATACAATCTTATTTATTGCAACAACTTAAACTGTTATGGCATTTTGAATTGCACAAGAGTCCCTTGCTTTTACAACTGCATTTATTCGTGGAACACTTTTTTTTGCAATGACAGCGTGTATAGCCTTGCCCTTCACTTTTCGAATTAGCTGCAGCTGCTTCTCTCAGCGATATTTCTTGAAAAGAAATCTTACCTATGGAAAATTTTCATTACAAATTACGAACTTATTACGGGTATAAAGCTGCTTGAGGGTATCATTTTTGTTCGCTAATTTATAAAAGTCGGAGTCTTCTATTCTAACAACAACTGCCAACACATTTCGGGCATCTGTACGGCCACGATCGACATCAGGGACTTGTATTCGTACAATATCACCAATTTGAGCAGAAGGAAACGGCGAAGAATTTGGCGACGGACTGTCGCCTCTCCGTCGACATCGGTTTCTGGGGTGTCGTTTCGACCTCAGCCAAAGCTTATCTGTGCTTGTCGACATACACCGGCGATTGTTCGAATGTATAATAATAATATAACAAAATATTCGGTCTTTCACCGACGTATTTTGTATGTGTCGACATTCACCGGAAAATATCGACATTCTCTAATTTCGGTCTTTCACAATAACATATATATATTATACACCCTCACCACCCGGCAGCCCCATTGTGGGCCTGGCCAAACCCATAATCGGCTTCTTGCAAAAAGAGGCCCTCTTAGTGCCCACAGGGCGGGAAGAGTTGAAAAAAATAACTATAAAATTATCATTTCGATGATTCAGACAGAACTACAAAGCGTGTCTCTATTCCATTGTATAAACATTTAATTTGCAAACTTTTAATTTTTTGAAATTAGTAATAAAATTTAATTAAAATTAACAATTTTTTAATTTTATTATTTATAGATTTTTCGTTTCTACTTTTAAATAAAAATAATAAATAAATAAATAACAGACATATTTTGCTCACCAGAGGGACACGGAGTGAAATGGAACAATTTGAACAAATGTGGAATTAGGAGGTGAATTTATTTGAAAGAAAAAAAACATGTTTGGAGGAGGAAATCCATTTTCTACTCAAGCAAAAACGATTGGAAGTGGTTTAACGCTCTCAACAACGTAATTATGTATAACATTTATCGTATAAAATTAAGTTTAAGTAATTTGAGCCGATGTTAACGAATAAAAGACACGCGAAACGTTTAAAATCTAGAAAAAGAACTATTTGCACGTTGTTAAAAGCTTAATTTTTAAGAAAATCTGGAAATTTTTTACTCAAACGATGTCGATCTTACACAATTTCGGTAGAAACTCGATCTATTTCGGTAAATGACATAATACAGTTTGAAAAGTTTGGCGCTAAATCATAACGTGACGAGTTGCGGTTCCGAAAATGCTTTCGTTTGTATTTAATGAAATTCAAATTTAAATTGGTTGGCTATGAGGAACGGACATGCTAAAAGGCTACAAAATTTGATATAAGGGTACAGTTCAGGCTCCGAATGAGATGGCCGAAACCTTATCGGAGCTGTAGACCAAGCCCGTAGGAGTAAAACAGATGAAAGAAATCGATGGACTGTGTGTGACCTCTCTTGAAGTACTGTGACGTTTGATGATAGGGATGCCATGTTTCCGTAAAAATTATAAACATATACTGGAAACAACAAAAATAAACAGTTTATTATAATTCTAAAATAGATAAATTGACATGAAACAAAGATATAAGAACTTGTTTATGATGATAATTTCACGAAATGTATTTACATTTTATAAAATATGAGGGAAGTGATGCTTCCGTAGACTGCACGCCGCTGGCGGTGTGGTATGTTACCGTGTTTCTCGACTGGTGGTCTGTGACGATCTGTCGTGGTGTTGGAGTTTTAGGGTTCCGCCACACGAGAAGCGTCGAGAACCACTGGTTTATAGTATATACAGCATATAGTACATGGATATAACTTGGAAGTAGTTGGAGCAATGATGTTTTTTGTGTTTTATGAGCTTGTAGTCTTCTCTTAGTAAAGTGGAAAACCATTATTATTGCTTTTTTGAGAATAGTTCTAGATTTCTTCACTTTTAAATCTTACCCAATTTTGAATGTCTTTGAAATTCTGGATGGGTTGATTTTCAGAGGCCATGTGTCTCAGAGTCACACATAGACTGTCTATTCCTTTGACTTTTTTGTTATTACAGGCATAGTCTCCAGCTCTGACAAGGTTCCAACTGCCTTGTTTAGAGCTGAATTTGTATGGAAAAGATACAAAAAGCTACTAATAATAAAATAAAATGAGAAAAATTATTTTGTTCTAGTTGATGCTTTTATTGTCTACCGAGTAAAGAGTATAATATTGTTAGAAACTAACATTTGTTTAAATATAATTTAATATTTATTTTGGGTTCTTTTCGGTTGACAGGAAGCCAGAAAACTATCGTCTTTAACAATTTAGCCCACATGACTGTGGAGTACTTGATGTTATATAGTTTTAACCTAAAACTGTAAAATGTGCTAAAACGTTTAGGGGTGTGGAGGCTTGCTCCACCTAGCGCTGAGGTGCGAGCACTGAGATGCACTTCTACATGTGAAGCATGTAGAATTGGCAGTAGACTGATACATGTTGAAAACTGACTGTTAGAGACAAATATCATGTAAAGGGTCAACAATTCTGGGGGTGGTGTGAAATTATTCAGATCAAATCATTCCTCATTCAGAGCTTGGATCTTACCTGTTGCTGTACATGTCGGCTGGCATCTTGTTAACTGAAAAGTACCCTGACATGTTATTTTGTTCATGAGATCTTTTCTGTACAAAGTTCATAGCTTGAAAGCTAGAACAATTCAAAAATAATGAATAATCTAGCAACTGTAATACAGTAATGGCTTCCATATACAGTGGTACCTCAGGATACGAAATTAATCCGTTCCGAAACTGAGATCGTATCATGAAAATGTCGTAAGGTGGATCATCTTTTCCCATACAATTACATGTAAAACCAAATAATTCGTTCCAACGCGAAAAACATACTCAAATTAAAGCCAAGTAATACATTAAAAAAAATAACTGTAGTAAGAAAAACAAATGAAAAATGCGAACTAATGTAACGTCGTATGGTGAGTTTTTGTTCGTATCGTGGAGCAAAAATATGTTCGAATTTCACGTCGTATCCTGAAAATTTCGTATGCTGGGGCGTTTGTAACTTGAGGTACCACTGTAATTAATTTTTAACACTGACAAAAGTGTTTCATCAGTTTAGACTCATAAGTAAAATAACTTATGAATTCTTATTATATGTTCAAATTAATTACCATTAGTTTATATTTTTGATGATTAATCTTTGTATATGATTCTCTAAATATTTCTTAAAATGGAAATACAGTAGAGTCCCGAAAACTCTGCCTAATGTGGACTGAAGGGTGGCCCTATTTGTGAAAAGCCGGGTTATTGGGAATGGGGTTAAAAAAGAATAAGTACAAGTGTTTCCTCAGAAAATACTGTACAGTACTTGTATGTATTATTTGCTTGAAAATACAACAGAAAATAAACTGCCCAAATACCCTTAAACAAAGGAAAAGTACATACTTGATGAAGGCGTAGAGCCTTTACTACATGAAAATGAAAATTAATGAATACACAGTGTACAGTAATTTACCTGATAAGAAAGATCTCAGAAAAATACTTTATGAGGCATAAAGCTGTCTATAATGAAAACTAACTAGGGGTTTTTTCACCCTGCCAGGGTGTGGCCGAGTTATCCGGACTGTCGGGTTATCGAGTGCCGAGTTTTCGGGACTCTACTGTATTAATTTGATGTGCATTCATTCCAAAAATTTTTCCTTTGGAATGAATGTGCATGGTTCTTTTTGGTTTTGGACTACAAACTATGGATTTTGTTTAAAAATATTCAAATATTACTTTTGTTATGTAAGGTCTGATCTGATCAAAAAATACTGACCACTGTGTATTGAACAAAAAACTTCATAATTGCAAGGAAGATAAAATGAACTAATTCTGAGCTAAATCTTAAGTTTCTTTCATTAGGTGTTGGTGTTAACAGCTTTATTAATTAAGAGTTCTGCAATTGTACAAAGTGGAAGTTTCAAGGAGTAGCATATATGAATCAAATTTAGTTTTAATGATAAAAACAGGAGCGAAAACTGTTGAAATTATTAAGAAAGTTTTTAAAGAGAATTTCATATAAATTCAAAGATTTATCAATGATATGCATTCATTTGTCAGTTGAAGATGATTTGAGATCAGGAAGACAGTCAACATCCACTTCTGATAACAAAATATAAGAAATTGTCATGAGGTGAGGCAAAATTTGAGAATAATAATACAAGAAATAGCAGAAGACACTATTTCTTATGGTTCTTGTATCCTAGGTCATCAAGAATGGCTTGTCATTCTTGATGACCTAGAATACAAGAGAGTAGCTGTAAAATTTTTTCTTAAACCTTATGTCTAGAACAGAAATCTCAACGCTGTTCAATGCCTCATCAAATTATTTTCCCCAAAGACTGTCCTTCATTGGAAGTGTGAACAGGTGGAAGTTAGAGGGGACCGGATCTGGGCTGCATAGTGGATAGGAGATAACCGACCAGCCAAATTTGCTGATTATCTGATTTGTTGCCAGAGATGTGTATGGTCATGCATTGTCATGGTGAATGTGGCTTCTTTTCAGATTCTTATTCTATCGCTTCCTCCTCATGGCTTCTCTAAGTTTGTTAAGTGTTAATGTACTGCTATCTGGTCATCATATGGCCATGTTCCAGAAAATCAAGCAGAATGATGCATTGTCATCCTAAAAAAATAGTCACCATGACTTTCTATGCTGATTGCTGGCTTTTGAACTTTTTAGGCCAGGATGGCAAACCTATGGCATGAGTGCCATAGTTTTGCCACCCTGCTAAATTATTATTAATATTTTATAGAAATTTATTTACAATTTACTTCTTCACATGGCATGGCTTGGCCTAAATGGCTCTTTTGCCAAAAAACCCTAACAAACCAACCTATCAGCCAATGTTTCATGCCCTGTCACCAGACTGGAAAAAAAATGTCTTCATTGGCATCAAACATTTCTAGCAAATCAGAGCAGACTTCCACTTTTTCTCCTTTAAATTGGGTGTCAGCTGCTGATATACACTTTCCAATACCCTAAATCTTTTGCCATCTTCTGTATGGCATTGTAACCAATGTGCAGTTGTGCAGTAATCTCACATATCTCCTGACTTATTTCAGCATGAATCAGTTTGTCCATTCACTGACAGTTTATGTCAGTGGTCACAGTTGATGGTCTCTTGCTGCACGGTTGTCTTCAATGCTGATTTCCCTTCTTTAAACCTTATCTATCTGTGCACATTGCTCTTGTCAACGGTGTCATATCCATAAGCCTTCAGTGGATGGACAGCTAGTCTACACCCTTCCTTTATCAAGAACTCTGTGTTGGCACATTGCTTCTGCTTGGATTCCATCATTTACCTGCAACAAAGACGAGTTACTCTACAGACATGTGCAGTTTGAATGACGTACATCAGTTAATAAAAAACTTATGCCCACTTTTGCATGAGTCTTCATCTAAAACAATAACTTTTATTTTATTTGTTAAATAAAGATAGAAAAAAATTTAACTTATTTGTTAGAAGTATTTTGACAATAAATTACTGATGATAATGATTGGAGGAAATCTTAGTTATGGTCAATAATATTAATCTATTTAAATATAGTTAATTACATTACTAGTTATTAATGAACTGAATGAAGTGGTATTTATTGAAACTGCTTTTTATACTTAAAATAGAATTGTTTTTAAAGTGCTTGTTGCAATATTATTATTATTACTAAAAGCTCATTTGAATGAAATAAGTTTTCATTTTTATTATATTAATTTTTAAAAGATGTTTAAATTCTTAAATAATATAGAATAGAAATGCTTTTTGCTGTCTATCAATAATTGCAATTTTTTTATAAGTTGAAATTTTCATAAAAATTAAGTAAATTTCTGTGTCCTAAATGAAATTTAAACCCACAATTAAATGTGTATAAAATATTAAAGGCTTTTTTTTCTGAACATACGTTAAGAATTAATATAAGAGATGATAATGTCTTATGTATTATTAATTATTATTTTTTATATATACAGCTCTATTCCAGCAAGTCAATCTCTCTTTTCCTTGACTCCATGTACTGCTTCAGGTTAGTGTTTTCATTATCTATTCTACGCATATAAAATATGTGTAGCTTAAAATTGTCAGACAAAAAAATTAGAAATGGTGGCACTGGGAATTAATAAATTGTCACAAAATTTTTGAACAATTGGGCAAAGTCCCCTAGTACCTATATATTTAGTTTAGTATTTTAACATTTTGTGTTCAATGAAATATATGAATTAATAACAATTAATTTCAGGAACGATGTTTAACAGCGGTTTTACGACGACGGTTTCTTCATCTGGAGCTTCGATGTTTCCCGGAGTCAACACTAACATTGTGACTTCTCTACCAAGTACTGGAATTTTCAGTGGACTTCAAACAAAATCAGCTGCATTACCTGGGTTTAATTTTGGTATGTATTCAACAAATTAATTTGAAAACTAAATGAAACTAAACTTTTGTACATATTAGCCCAGGATTATTATAGTTATTTTCAATTTTATAGATGATTCAAATTTTCAATAATGAAAATGAACTAAACTTTTACTCATTTTTTAATGGTAAAATCATAAACTATTATTTGGGAATAACATTTTTTCATTCCTAAGGTTGATTATTGCTATGATGGAATCTGTAACAGTAAGTGGCAAAGTTGTGACAAAATAGCAGTCACAAGGTGAGATCAAATTGGGAAAGAGATGTGTTTATGAGTTTAGTTGGGCTCAACTTTTATTGCAAGTGAAAAAATTAAGTATTGACCAATACAAATGCATCATTTACATTGACATCATTCAATATCAGTTCAGTCTTCCCAATACATACAGTATTTGTCAAAATGAACAGTACTGAAACTTGCACATCACAAACTTGCATGTGCATTTGTCAACATGGCATAGCTTCAGCTGTACGTATTCTCAGTAGTAAAAAGGAAGGCAATGCTCTTATTGTCACTTGAGAATATTAATGGGACATGGTGATCGGACCATTTCTTCAGGATAGACAATGGTTTCATCAGTATGGGGTGACCAGCCCCATACTGTTGATGTTGAAACACTGTGTATTCCATACCACTTGAGAATCTCTAGCCATTCTATAGGAAAACCTTCCAGGACAAATCATTTCACGTGGACTTCACTCATCCATCCCATTCCCCCAATCTCACACCATCTAATGCCTGCTTGTGGGAATATTAAAGGAGTGTGTTCAACTGTTAAGATCCACCAAGAACTGTTCCTGCATTATGCATGTGAATTGTCTCCTTTTGGAGGAGTCTGTAGCAACCTTTGTTCTAGGATATGTTTGAGAATCTGAGAACAATAAGAACACTGTCTACAGTGAGGTAGTGCACACTTCAAACGTTTACATTACACATATCATGGTAAATCAACATGCTAATAGCATGTATGTTAGTTTTTTTTCAGGAGAAATAAACTCATAACAGGGTAATATTGTTTGTCTTTTCATTTCAGTAGTGTATATTTTGCACATATTGTACTTCATAGATGCATAATTTAATGGCATACCACAATAATGAAAACAATGCCACGGCTTCCACATCGATAAGTTGTTGTAAGCGAGAACCAGCCTCTGGTCAGACAGATTCAATAAATTTTAAGTTTTACTATGAATTACTCATTTTAATTTTTCTGAATCAAGAATGTTACATTTAAAGTGCCTATTGCAAATATAATTTTAGGCTAGAAAAATCTTTATTTAGAATTTTTAAGAAAAATTGTCCTGTTCTAAAGAATTGAATAAATATCATTTATTACACTAAAAGTCAAACTTTAATGGTTTTTTTTTTCTTCTTGAATTAAGGAAGAGTCAAACAATTTTATATAATATTTTTAAATATATCTTTTAAATTCATAAAAGATTTTATTTTCACATTTATATATATATATAAATGGACGTGTGTGTCCCTATATTTCACTTTTCAGCCAAAACTACACATCGCACATGAATGGTGTTTGTATGTGGTAGTAGCCCCAAGTCTCCATTTGTGCACTATGGTGTTGCGTCTCGATAGCTGTAAGGGTGCTGGAGATATGGGCTTGAAAATGGTTGAAAGTGGAAGATTTTCTATTTCGATTTTAAAAATTTTCGAATTTGAATTTAAATTCAAATTGGTTCGATTGTAGAACGATTGTAAACGTTCCAGAAAATTGATCAAATTGAAAATAGTTTGTTTAACTGGACGTAAAAATTCTCTAATTAGTCTGGAAACGGGGGACCTAATTCTTGCATTATGTGAAAACGGGTAAGATTGGCTTTAATGTAATTATCTTAATCTTCACTATCGTTAGTTTTTGCCCACAAATAAAAACCCAGCGAAGCAGGTCCTTGCAGCTAGTTTGTATATAAATGTATAGATGAATAATGTTGATTATGTCTATGGAACAACTGATATAGATTAACTATAGTTTCTATTTAACCCTTGAACTCTGACTTTTCATTCTAGTTGTGAACTTGGGTATAAGAATATATCCAAAAAATTTCATATACTTATATACTTATGTGAGATTTTTCAATCTTTAATGGACCACAAAACAAAGACCAATGTAATAGTAGTAGTCATTTGTGACATTAGTATCTTAATACAAGTCTTTGTAAATAAGTGTGTTTTTTTTCATTTCTATTAATTATTTTTTCTTTACAGTTCAATTATGTAGGAATTTATTCATCATATTCCTATAAATTTTTCTATAAAATTATGATGGTTGTTAATTAATTTTTATTTTTTCAGCTGTTGTATATAACAGAGAGAAAGTATGGTAATCAGTCAAAAGAATGATCCCCAAGATTTTTATATCTTTAGAGTCAAGGGACCTTGAAATGTAGAGAAGTAGAAAAAATTTGGGGGTTTTTTCCTGTATGTATGGATGTTTGTGTATATGATGCAGTTTTATTCACCCACTTTAAATCTTAACATCTGTCCCTTTTGTCAAAAATTTCTGAAATTTTTAGGGAGGTTTGCTTATTAAGGACATCAATGCTATTAAATTTTGGTGGTTAAAGATTGATGGGATGGGAGATAGATGGGGGTTGTATGTCAAGTAGAGTTGAGCTTAATGAAGATATTACTCATTATTAGCATTTGTCATTTTATAATAGCTAATAATATAAAAAGTTTTTTAATAAAATCTTGTAACAGATGGTGCCACACACAATTTTAAATTTTTTATCAGGAAAGTTATGCTTGTTGCTGGATTTTTTGTTTATTAACATTGATAATATTCAACATTTTTATTTATGTTTAGGTACTGGAACATCATCGACTGTTCCCCTGACGGGATTAAATGTTGGTTTTGGAGGAACAACATTAAATATTCCGACGACGACTACGAATACGACAACCAGCGTCGGTTTGGGTGGTGTCGATATTTCTCAAACTTCTACAGGTATTCAGATTTAACTTAAGAATGATAATTTGGAATGTAATAAAATAATAAAAAAATACGAAATAAAATTGATAAAATCCTGTTACATACTATATATTTTAAGCCTGTTACTACAAAATATGTTTCAATATTAAGTCATTTATTGAAACTGAGAATGCATTTATTTACATTTTTAATAATTTAGTGTCTGTTATTCAGTTAACTCAGGTTGTGGTATATGGTTTGAGAGACTAAATTTAAGTTGACATGGATTCAAAACCAAAGAATTTTTCCTGAGTTTACTCATGATAGCATTTGAAAAATTTATGAAGCTTAGTATGTTTATTATACTTGTATACTGTGTTTCTTGCTATTCAATCTTACACTTATGTACTACTATTTTCCCTATTTTTATTCATATATATACATGGCGTCTTCCAAAACCAATCCTATTTTTTTAAATTATTGTAATTATGTTAATTATCTGAGAACATTGTAATGCACATTAAAATATTGGAAAACTGTCACATTTGCCTATTAGTTTCTCAATGCATGCACCTTGTGTCACATGGCCTGCATCCAACTAATATTCTTCCTACTTTTTACAGCATATCTCACAATTTCCACAATTCTACAGCTCCTGCAGATTACTTGCATTGCACAATGATGAGTGATTCCAACTTTTTGAACTGCAGAACACAATACACTATCTCTGTTTTGAAGTCACTATTTTTGTTTACAGCACTTTGTAGAGGCCGTAGACAACAATTGGTTTGAATACAGACAGGAGATGAAACTAGAACAGTTACTGTATTGATTGGTGTACATCACATACTTCTTGAATAATAATTAACATAATTACAGCAATTTAAAATGGTGGCATTCAGTTTGTAAGAGTTTGTATATATAAAACATATATACATAAAATTTATAATTCATGTTGTCAATAAAGCATTATCAAATATAAATGTGTTTTCGTGTGTCAACCAGTTTTTGTTTAACCAAAACAATTTTTGTTATCGTTTCTAAAAGAAAGAACTTATCCAACCATTTAGCATCTTTCTCTAACAGGCTGTTGGTAATGCAGTTTGGTAATGAATAAACAGTGTTCTTTGAGAAACAATATAAACTATAATTGACATACATTATTGCCTCTGGTTTATGTTAATACACTACCATACAGTAGAACAATCAATATTTGGTCAATTGCATGAAAACACACCTTACGATATAAGGAATGATTTAAATAAGAATTTTCTTTTACTTAATAAATATTTTAATTTTATTAGATGAATTTTTAAATGATTTTATTGAAGTTTTGTTATTACTATTTGAGTTTTAGAAAGTATATAATAAAGTTAATTATGTGTCATAAATTTGCATCTTATAAAAATTTCTTTTATAATATGCAATTAAACATTAAAAGAGTTGAACTTCTGTTATGTTTTCTCTGTTAATAATGTGTAAAATTATTATGAAAATATGTTCTTCTAATAGTTTTTATTTAAAATAGACAGAATATATAATTTATTTGTCTTCTGAAAGACATCCTTTCTGTATTACAGGAATGGACAAGATTTCAAACTTTATTTTCTGTAGTATGGAAAGAATATTTAGAGCAACTTTATTGTGTTTTTGGGTTTATTACGTTAACAAAAATTTTTCATGTAAACATTTACAAGCCGTCCTTAACTTTCAGACATTTATCTTTTGAACTGAATGCTCTTTCATACATAATTCATACTTCTGCACCATACATTTTTCAGCCAATAACAAAACATTCAAATGTTTTCTGCCAGTTTTGACTTCTGTAACACTAAAATCATATGTGAAAATTTTAATTTTTGGTTTACATTTGATCTGTCTTTGCTTGTGTGATTTGAGTAATGTTTTATCTTTCATACATATTCACTATTTTAGTTTCATGAGAATGCAAATCTGTCTTGACTTCTGAACAAATTCTTAGGAATACATTACATTTAAAAGTCAGGGACTTTCTGTATCAGAAATGATTTTATTAATCAGTTGGGACACATCAGATGATCAAAAAAATAGATTTTGTTTCATTAAAACTGAGAAATAATGCCTTAAAATATAACAAACTTATCCAGCTATGAATTGGTAATATTTTTAGGACAAAAGTACAAATTTGAGAGTTTGTGATTCAGTGATAACAATTTGTAATGTAACTTTCACATTTAGTAATTAATAAATTTAAAAGGATTCTCTATTTAATAATATACAAGGAAGATTAATTTGTGAATATTTATTGGCATGTTGCACAGATGGCACTTTTTAAGAAAGGTCCTATATTGAGGTTTGACTGTAATTGTATTTTTGAAATTAAAATTTTAGGAAAATGTTTCATCTTATTATTTTTTGACACACTGTCCTGTGGCACTAAGAGGGTCTTTGTAATCATACCCATTCTCCCATCCTGGTTTGGCCAGATCAACAACAATGTGGCCAGGTAGTAAGGTATTGGATCCAACATATCCAGGACAGGACCATGAAAAATTCCATTACTTGTTTGGATTTGATACCTGGTCTCTTGGGTTGGTATGATGACTTCTTAGCCACTTCAGCCATGTGTTTAACTTATTTATAGACTCATCATTGTTCAGTTGAATTAAAATAATTTGTATAATTTTAGAATTATATGAGATAAATATTAGGAAATTATTTTTATAATGTATTACTGTAAATGTCTTTCATTTAAAATGTGTTTTGAATTTCAGGAGGCGGCATTTCATCTACTCAAAGGTAGGTTCATTTTCTTATTTGCATATTTATTCATACAACAATATAGCAATTTTAAAAATTTATTACCTAAAAATAAGTTTTATTATTATTTAGTTTTATCTAATCCAAAGCAGTTTTAAAAAATTTGTAGTTTGGAGAGTTTTTATTTAATTGATACACAAAGAACTTTTTTATAACAATTTTTTATATTACAATATAACATTTTAATAAATAGATAATAATGGTTATAACTATATAAATGTAATAAAAGAAATAATAAAACTTAATGAATATTTTATTACTTTTTAAATATTTTATCACATCAATGAATTCAGAATTTGTCCCTATTTAAGGTATAAATTTAGTAAGAAATTGTAAATCTGTATATATATATATATATACAGATTTATAATTTATATATACACACACACACACACAATTTACAATACATTATTATATAATACAATATACAGTACGGCATAAATTTAAGCATATATATATATTTATGCTGACTTGATAGAAGCTTGAAAAAATTTGCTAATAAATGAATATATTTTATTTCAGTGATAATAAAGCAGCTGTTAAAGAAACAATTCTTCCAAATGAAATTTCTAGTTCTTTGGAAATTTTCAAGTATGTTTATGTTTATTTTTTTTAATAAAATAGTTTTAGGTAATTAGTGTTATTTTGTCTTATTAAATAAAATATATAAGATATCTGATATTAAAACTGATTAATCCTTTTAATGATTTTTGAATAAACATATTAAAACACTAATATTTCGTGAAGGTTTGGTTCATTGCTAATGTCACTGACCATTCAGTCGATATACTTTTAATGTCCTACAGTTTTATTTTTTTATTGCATGCAGGCATATGGGGGGCCTACATCTATGTGTGTTTCCAAGTTGTCATTCACTAAACATCTGAGTCAAGTGCAGTCGAACTTTCTCTTAGTGCAACTCTCTCAACTAACATATTAAAAAAACATGTATATATGTGACAAACTAATCCCATTAGCTAAACTAATAAGGTGTGTCCCATAAATATAGGTCCAATATGAAAATTTTTGTTAAAGTATCAAATTTTATGTAATTAATATACATATTTTTGCCATTAGAGATCCTTACTTATCCAATTACAAATGGCAGCGTAATTTGAAACTGATTAACTAATGTTAATTGATATTTTGTGTGACTTGAATCACAGGATGTGCCAAGGGTGCTACAGACATGGAAAAAGGACTAATTATGGCCTGAACGGAATCTGGACTATCAAACAGACAAATTGGAATAAAACTTGAAAAGATCTCATAATTTAATTAATTTTATATATCTAGAAGACAGTATAAAAATGCTCCAAAAGACGGTCTTCAAAAGTAATACCTCAAATAAAATGAGTTGTGTTAAAAGAAATTGGCAATAATTCATCATAAGTACATCAAATTTCCATAAGACCTGACAATCCAATATCCAAATCAACAATTTCCAGAATTATTAAAAGTTCAGGCCAATTTCTTTACAGTCAAAGAAAACTCACCTATGCCTTAACAAATGCGCACAAGCAGAAGAGGTTAAAATGGGCCAAAAATATGATATTGAAAAGAGAATTATATGGAGTGATGAGACAAATTTTATTTGGATGGCTCAGATTGATTGTTGGCACAATTTAAGACAGGAAGAACAGATGTGTTCAAAATGTCACCAAAGTGGCAATTATGTGATGATATGGGTGGGCATCATTCAGATGGAATGGAAAGTTTAATGTGGCATTTATACATGGAAGTATGAATGTAAATGACTATCAATAAATATGGGAAAATATCTCTTATCATTTGCAGAGAAAATAGAAGGCCCAACATGGATCTACCAACAGGACAATGCCTCAATACACAAATATAAATGGTTTTTGAGTAATGGAGTGCTGATTTTGGACTGACTACATTGTAGTCCTAATCTCAACCCCATTAAGAACTTGTGTAAAATGCTTGTTATAGCTGTGTATGCAGGAGACTAGCAATATTCCATAGTATAGGAATTGAAGAATGCAATAGTAGCTAAATGGAAGAAAAACACTTGCAGACTTTAATGAAATCAATGCCTAATTATGTATTTAATTTAATTTTGACTCAAGGATGTCACATTGAGCATTAAGAAATTTTTTTATTCATGTTATTGTTTTTTTCAAAACGGATCTATATTTATGGAACACACATTTATGATTTATTCTATTATATTCATGTAAATGATATTTAAAATTTCAGTGGAAATTCATTAATAGGGAGGATAAAACTGGCTCCAATAGTTATCTAAAGGGAAGATCTGTTGTGAGTGAAAGCATTTTGTTATGTGTGTATGCATTTTTTAAAATAGTGTTATGAGGATTATTTCAGTAGTTTTGTGTATGATTTTATGGTTGTTATATTATGCATTGACAGTATGGTTGATATCTTCTTTTGCTGTAAACCACTTACTACCTAAGGCATTCCTTTAAATAGATAAAAACAAGAAATTACAAGTAGTAAAGGTCTGGAGAGTAGGGAACATGAACCAATAATTCCCAACCCAGCATCACAACAGTCACAATGTTTTATACATTGGCAATGAGGTGTACTGTCTAGAAGTAAGACAACATCACATTTCAGCAATTCTGGTTGTTTATGGCAGACCATGAACTATTAGAACAAGATGTCATTGTGTTTCAAGGCAATGGGACAACTCATTACAATCGTTATGTACAAAACCTGTTTCACTGTTGGGATTGAGAGTTGTTGGCTCATCTTCCACATTCTTCAAACTTTTCCCATATGATTATTAGGTATTTTCCATGTAAAGATATGTCTTCAAAGTAAGTAGTTTGTAACAAGAAACTGACACTGGCATCAACCATATTGTCACTACATTTTTATGGCATCTGAGTAAGATTGAATTTGGGGATGCAATTGATCATTTACCTTGCAGATGGCAGAATTGTATGGATGATGCCGGTTGCTGTACTGAGTAGTAAAGACATTAGTGATATTTTCTATATAACTTTTGTGCTGCTATTCTTTATTGTGTAATGTCAATAAACTCATAAATAAAACTTGAAATATATATTTAAATTGTAATTATAACATGCCATGTTAAGTTACAGGTATCCCTTGCGTAATGTGGGATTTTATTAACACAATTGTGATATATGCGATAGCTTTGGGAGATTGATTAACCATGCTAATTGAAGGATACCTTTACTTGATTTATTTTAATAAAGAATTCTACTTTAACCAAGAGAGTTAATTTATATCTCAAATTTACTTACCATTATAAAATTTTATGATACTGAAGAATTCAAGTGACTGTAGTACATGAGTTCCCCTATATACAAACTTTAAGGGTTACAAACAACTTGATTGTATGTCTAAAATTTAAATTTCATTCTGACGTTCTGTCGGTTGTGAGGTGGCGTCAAAGTCAGTCTTTGGCCAGTAATAAAAAGTTTTTAATAAATAATTAATGTGGGCTTTTTTTATTATATATTGTCATTTTTTGTTTTTTGCACAAATTCTGACATTCTGTTGCCACTGGGGAGGTGTGTCAAAGTTTGTAACATTGGAGTAACAGCAGTTTTTGCTATTGTTAGCAGTTTTTATAAACTTTTATGATTAGTGCTTCAAAAATGCATCCAAAACATAATAGTAAATTGACCAGTGGAGATAGTTTGCTCTATTATTGTGGAAACTAAATTGGACATTATAAAAATAAGTACGTTATGTGAAAAAACACATTTGAAACATCTGTTACTAAGCAGTAGTGACCATTAAGAGCCTTCGGGTCTTTGATTAGCATGAAAAAAGGCTACTAAGTGGGTCTTTTTATGCCCATTATAGGTTTATTTAGACTAATAATATAGCTGGATAGTAAGGCACAAGGTCAAACATCAAGATCAAAGCTCTTATGAAAATTTGAAGATTTGTACCTGAACTCGAGTCTTGGTGGTTGCAAGGTTTTCATTTGGCCATCATTTTATGTTTATGAAATTACATTTCTAATCTAAAAATTTTAGACGCAAAAATAATTGGTAAAATTAAAATTACGGATTAATAATACATGCATTATATTTCTTTTCTTGGCATCTGCTATGATATGTGTTTAATGGGAGTTAATTTTTTTTTCAGAAAATATGTCAAAGATCAAAAAATAATAAGGGAAGAAATAACAAGAGTATCTTCTAAACCTATTTTAAAAGTTCAAGAAGAAACAATTGCTCTGAAACAGATGCTGTCGATTGTTTCCAATGGTTTGCAAAGGAATGCTGTTGCTGTCGAAAAACTTAAACAGGAGACTGCTCAAGTACGTCTATTGTTTTTGAATTTATTTCTTAGAATTTTATTCAAAAAATAAAATTAAAATGTAAAAAATATTTAATTTTTAATGAAATTCTCAAAAGTGAAATAAGTTGATTGAGTTACCAAAGATGTCTTCTTGTCATCTGTGGGATTTGAGGTTAAATTGACAACTAAAGCCTGAGTTGACTATTCATAAAACTGATACTGATGTAATTGCAATTTTAAAAATTATTTTTTATGATTATTTTAATAAAATACAGTGAAACTTGCTTAACAAGCACCTCACATAATGAGTATTTCACATAACAAGCAAAACAAATTGTAAAAAAATGACTTGCTTAACGTGTGGAGTTTCACATAACGAGTGACTAGGAGAGGGGAAGTCCTGGATTGTATGCATTCTCCATCAGTCTGTGTTTAGCACTCATTCCACTAGCATCTTAGTGTCGCTTGTGATCAAACATTTTTCCAAAGTTGTGTTTACACATATTACATATAAACATCAACAACCATAGCCCATTATATAATAAACACACCAAACAATATGTCAAATTCTTAGGCTGTGTAAAGGCTATAATTAAATATTAGAAATTACTATATTTTTATTTTTTTTTCTGCAAATCGAATTTGCATTCCAGGTTGGTTCATTCGCACTAGAAGAAAAGATGATGATTCACATTCTTTAACAATGTATATTGTATAATTTTTTTTTTGAATAAACATTATATATAAAATGTTTGAGTATTTTTTCAGCATGGAATGCATTATTGTATTTTACATTAATTTATATGGGAAAAACTGTTTCACTTAATGAGTATTTTGCATTAGGAGTAAGATTCTGGAAGGAATTATGCTTGTTAAGCGAGTTCCACTGTATACAAAAATAATGATTAATTCCATTCTAAATACTTTGTTGTAGACGATAAATTTAAACTTATTCTATTTCTCTTGTAGGAATTGAAAAATGCCGAAATAGCTCAAAGAACTAAGGATATGCCACCTACGCTTCAGTATGAAAATACTGCGCCGGTTGAGTAAGTAGTAAAGATAAAATTAATCAATAAAAATGAAAATTTGGATACTTTTTATATTGTAAATAAAAACAAACATTTTGCAAAAAGTAACTTCTTGACTGTTAGTTGTTTTAAACAATTATAAAATATACTAATCAAGTGTAAATTTTAAAGCATTAATTTGTTTCAGATTAGATAAATTTTTATCGTCCAATAAATAAACCGAAAGCACATAGCCACAGTGGCCAAACTGTTTTCACTAGTTGCACACATCTTTTCTGGATCCTTATTGCAGTTTCTATATAGTTATACAATATTACATGTGTGTAAATAGCACGTATGAAGTTTGTAAAAAAAAAAAATTGTATAACTATATGGGAACTGCTATAAGGGTCCAGAAGAACCATGTGGCTTGCAAGCTGCAGTTTGGCCACCTAAGACATTTAGAGTGGCTAGAAAGTCTTTTTGATGTGTGTGCACTTTCCTTTCTGCACAAATTCTAATTTTTTAAATTCTCTTAGGCACATTTTATTGTTGATTAGAAGTTAATAAAGCAGTCTCCAGTCATTGTTTTTAGGTCTAATTTTCTTATCACAAAGCATTTTTATAAATATTTATTCAATATTACAGTAGAGCGTTTATCCAAAATTCAGTTATCCGAAAGAATTCCAGTCGGCAAATTTAAATTTTCGCTAGTGCTGTGGCGCTGCAATCTTTGGCTATATCTTGGGCCACTCCAATATTTTTTTGTTGGTGTGTGTGTTTTAGCTGGCAGCACTGGCACTTTTGTGTGGTGTTTTTCTGAGGACTGTGTGTCATGCTGAATCGAACATTTTTGATACTAGATTAACTTCTAAAGTATAAAATTTTTTTGGTTATATATTTTTCAATATATTTATTTTGTTTGTAAAAAATAAAGAAATAATTTTTAACGATATAATAGCCATGATTGCTATTTTAAAAAGTTTACATTAGGCTTAACATTGACGAAAATTCAACACGAAGCGACACGCAACGGAGAAAAATTTTAACATTGGATAGATTAATATATTTTTTTGTACATAATCAGTTATCGGAACAACCCCAGTCCCCAATTGATTCAGATAAACGACGCTTTACTGTATTTCTTTTTGTAATAAAATTAGTATTAAATGATAGTTATTTTACTTTTAATATTAAATCAGCAATAATGTTTTTATTTTTGCCAATTTAATCACACACAAACATTTTTATTGAGAATAAAATTATAATAATCATTTAAGTGACGATGCTTTTATATAATATCAACATAAATATCTTACCTTTCAGTGTTTTGTTTCCAGATTAACTTTATAAAGCTTCTCCATCTTTTTTTTTTATCCTTTTACCACTTGTTTCTTCTGACTCTTCACACTTTCCATCTTCTTTCCTTTCCTCCTGGTTTTTTCCATGTAAATATCACTTCATGTCATTTGTTCATTCTTTTTACTCCCCTCCTCTATTCCTTTAGTATAAAAAGATAAATAAATTTTTTAATTTCCATGTACAATCAAAACTTTTTCATTTCGAATTAAAATATGAAGATATTCAGCTTATCATTCAGTAATTTTGTCTATTGGACAATCAAACAAAAGAAAAATTCATGAGTAGTAGAAATTCATTTGCTTGTGGCATTGCGAAAATCCTACTTTTTGCAAATTTTCCTTTCATTTGATTACCTGATATTTTTGTATAACACACAGTTAATATAGTATTTAATTTGTTGTATGCTAAATATTTTTTGTATTAATTCCAATTTCAGCAAAGATTATTTGTTATGAATAGTTAGGCTGCAGTTTTAAAAACTGTAGACCTATAAATTCTCACTGGTGTTTGTCTGTGTTTCTTCTTTAATTTTGAGAACAGAGTTACATAGATGAGTTGAGATCAGATATAGGGGCAGCTATATTTGGTTTCAATAAGCTTAGGGGCAGGAGGCCTTAACTCTATATGAATTTTCAGTTTGGACTGGAAGTCATGTTATTTCAATTAAAAAATTTTCTCCTTAATGGAGTTAGATGACTGGCTAGCCTCTGTTGTTAACAAGAAAAGTATGATGTATGAGGACAAGACACTAGTAAAATTGAGAGCATTGTGACGACTTCACAATAAATGACTGCTTGTTAAGTTGTAGGATTGAAAAATGAATATGAATCTAATTTATTACTGTGTTAATGTGGTAAATTAATACTCTAATATTTAATACAGTCAGTGTAATTGATAGAATTATTTAGTTCTGAAATTAATGCAGTATTATAAATTCCTGTAATAGTAAACATTTATTATAATATAATTAATTTTTTATAATATTTTAATATGTATAATGTTTTTACAGATATTTTCAGAACCTGGTCACTAAATGTGAAAGTCAAATGCAATTATATCGTCAACAGATCGAACAGCTAGAAAAGCATCTAGTATCAATGTCACAACCGTCTGTTCTGACACCACAAGGTATCCAAATTTTTTAAATTTTAAATTGTATTTTTTAAAATGTAGTGAAATAACATTTATCTCGATGAATGTAACAACTATCAGTAGCAATTTTAGATTGCACAAGGTCTTAGATTTCAGAAAGCCTCTTTTATACAAGTTTGCATGATATAAAGTCTCTATCATACAATATTTGATAATGTACAAAATGTTGGATTGTAACTAGTACAGAAATTAGAGTATTGCCAAGCCAATAGTTGTGCATGCCCGAAGCTCTTAATGAATTCAAGTGAATAGTCCATTTTCCAGTTTATTGATTGACTTTTTAGTGGATCGGTATTGGAATCATCCAATGCATTGCAACTTATAATTAGATACTTTAAAACAATTTCTGATAGTACAGGGACACTTGTGTAATAGTTTGTTATGCCTATGTTTTAAATTTTTAATATTCTCGCATACATTGCTAATTAGGCTTCTTCAATACTTCCGTTAGTTAAATTGTCCAACTCGCCAGCAGATGTAATGTGGGATATTTTTTAGGGATTTGGCAGTTTTGATTATTGATCCAAAGTTTTGATTTGCGTAAAAGTGAAACAGAGCTTTAAAAAATTCGATTAAAAAAGTTAAAAATTTCAAAATTGTTTCCAACAATATTTAATTGTTGGAATATCTTGTCGGGTTGAAATAAAACAAAATTCTCACTCATTTCTCCCAAATTAAAGGTCTTTATGTTAATGAATTGTGTTTTAAAATTTTTCTGAATTGTCTTGATAAACAGCTAAATAGAAGTTTTATCATCATTTTATAAACATATTTTTCTTTTATTTTCCATATTTTTTCATAAATATATTCCAATGTATTAATATTTGTTACTTTTTAATAAATTAAAAAGAAACAAATAAGGTTTGTTTTCGAAAAGAAAAATATATTGAAAAAAGAAGTAAAAAATTTGCAAAAATTACTACCTGTTTAAAATTTCTAGTTTCTTGGTATGCAAAAGAAAATATTTGTGCATTTTCAAAATAATTTTTCAGAAAAAAACATGTGCAATCATTGCTATCATAAAGAAGCATGCCATGCTAAGAATAGTTCATCTTGTGACATTGGGATAGTTTTTAGCATGGCACAGAGAATATCTGACACATTCAACTTTAGTTATTGACTGCAATTTTCAAATTATAGACCTGTAGATTCCACTGTCAACCATCTATCTGTCCATCCTTCCTTAAACTAAAAAATGGTATTAGATGAAAACTGAGACCAAATGAAACTTTACTCTAGAAAGATGTGGCAAACTTAGGGGCTGGAGGACCTGACTAACTAAATAAAAACTTCCAGACTAGATTGGAAATCACATAATTTTTTAAATTAAAATATGATTAAAAATTGCACCCAGCATTATGATAATATCACAATAATTTAGATTTTTCTATTTTATTTTTATTAATCACAGTATTATGTCAGGATTAAGGAAATTCTGATTTCTATATTATTAAGTAAATGTGAATTTCAATATCTTTATTTTTAAATATTGGCTATGTATCAACAATCTAAGAATTTTTTAAAATATGTTATCTTAATTGGGTATTGGAATGGATCAGATTGGATTAGATAGAAAAATGTCAATATTGGATCAGATCAAATAATTTCCATATCAGTCACATAATATGAAGACATATAGAATAAATAAATTAGAATCACTAATTTCTGTATTTTATGCCAAATTATTCTAAACTTGAAGAATTTCGTCAGATGGCAATTTTACGAAAATTAATTTGAAGACATAAACCAGTGCATTTTCCTCAGTAGATATAAAGCCCAAAAATCCCTGAGTGGTAAGGATGGAAAGAAAAATGAAGAAGTCTGTAAGTTAACTTTGTAATTTTAATTGGATATTTTTCTGTGTTTTTAAAAGGAATGTTTTTAAACTTGACAGCCAAGCAGCCTAAAAAGAAAGGTCAGGTCGTCAATTGTTTGTATTCTGGAACACAAGAAGTGAATAAGTGGGGTTACCAATTTTGGACAGACTACATCTTAAAATTATTCTAAACTGTTAAATCTAAAGTTTTAAGCTGAGAATGATCAGATTTTAACCAAAATGTTTCTTTTAATTAATAATATGTTGGCTTCCTGAAATTAGTAGTGATTTGTTTATTTGAAAAATTGAAGGCACAAACTGGAAGAGAAACGAAATCCTGTAAGTTCCAGCACNTTTATGATACAGTAAACACGATTATTATTTAAAAAAAAAAAAAAACATTTTAGACTTAACATCGACAAAAATTCAACATGGCATCACAGGCAACAAATAAAAATTTCAACATCGAATAGGTTAATAAATTTCTCAATGTTACCATGCATATCAAAATTGTGTTAACCAAATACAGTGGTACCTGTACCTCGGTACTTGATTGCAGGAAAGAATTGTACTAGAACAAATTTTTTATTAATAATAAATATTTTTATTTTAACTTTAATTTTTTCATTCATTCGTAAAAAAGTTCTTTGAGATAAAAATGAGTAACTGATTTAAAAATAAAATAAAACCTTACCGCTGCCTACTTTTGCCAGACGAAATTATACTCAATTCAGTTCATTATTTTCATAAGTGAGAAAAAAAAAACTGTGTGCAGAACACAATCATCAGCATGTCTTACAATCATTTCAAGTGGATGATGAAGTGTTTCAATAATGCATGCCTGTGATACATTAAGATTTGTTGCAAATTCACAAGTTGTTATTCGTCAATCTTTAACAATTTCTGCAATTTCTCTTCTACCTGCAATTTCTCTTCCACAACTTTTGGAAGCCTGTACATTTTGTACTGTAATTTTGAACTAAAGAGTTCAAAATTGCCTGTGTAAAACTTTCAAAACCACATTTGACACATTCGGAGTTTAGAAGCATCTTCCCCATACATGGTATGAATATTTATTACTGTTTGTATGATGCGATATCTTTTACAAAGCTTAAAAAGCATGCCCGGTTTTTCCTTTTTTCTGCAGACATTTTGATTTGATTTTATTCAAAGGAAATGTGATGTCAAAAGTTTAAAATAAGCTTCAAACCAAAGAATGCAATCTCATGGGAATAATGTGTTAAATTTCACAACTCATATAATTACATCACTTATTTATGTTAAGTGAAGATGGTTGTTATTAAAAATATGCAAAAACTTTCTGTTTAAGTTCCAATAAAATTACTGTAATAAAGTATTCGTGTTTTGCTATTCTATATTGCACATGTGTATGTTTTTACATTTTTATGATTTATACATGCTAGGCTTGTAAACTTGTTAAATTTGTGTTAAATCAAATAAAGATACTGATTTTTCCATTATATGGCCAATTTTCTTTCCGTTTTTGCATTAGGCAGTTTCCACCATATACAAGTTAATTTACATTAATTTTTGCAAAAAATTTAAGGGATTGCAGAAATTCTCCATTTATGACAGGTTTCATTATAGACAGGTTTGACTGTATAAAATAACTTTTATATGAATTTATATTAAAGTTTAATAAACTTTTTTTTAAATGCAGAACTGACTGTTATTATGAAAAGACTCCATGAAGCATTTGTTGCTCTTGCTGCTCATCTTCAATTGATACACGAAGCTGTGCATGTATGTTTAAATATTAATTTTTTTACATTTAATTTAGGAATTATATTATCTGTAAATAAATTGCTAAGAACATAATTTGGATTTTTGTCAATTACACTTTTGAGAAATAAAATATTTAACTGACATATTGAATAAATCTAATATCTACTAAGATTAATGCTTTATTATAACTGAATGATAAGGTATATAAATTATATCCAAATTAGCATTTGAAATTATGTATATTATGGTGTGTTTTAAGTTCAGTCTCAATCTTATCCCAAAGTTTGACAGCATACCTTAAAGCAGGGCTTGGCAACCTTTTTTGGCTGGGTCAAAATCAACCAAAATGTGTGTATGAAGACTACGTTTTGGATCAGTGGTATTTTCATTTTAAAACAGTCTCACCAGTGTTACCACATGTCTGTCAAGGAATTATGGATTGGCATTGCCAAACTTATCTATTTCTTCTTCAAGTTATAAGGACCTTGAATAAGTTCTCGCTGTTTTTTTGTGAAAATTAACACTTTATTTAAAAAAAGTCGTAATAAACACGTCACTGAAAGTATTGTCCGTCGCTAGCCACTACTTTCTCCTATCATTCTAGCAGCATTTGAATTCCATGTCGGAAAAACGACACGTTTTTTGAGGCTATCCAAGAATCAACCCATTTTTTGGCATCTTCATAAGAACGAAAGTGCTGCTCAGCCAGGCCATGTGACATCGATCGGAACAAGTGATAATCGGAAGGGGCGATGTCTGGTGAATATAGCCTACCCCCGTAGGGGAAGTCCTACCCCTGGTGGGGTAGGACTTCCCATTTAAGCGTTTCCAAGTACGTTTTCACCGGTTGTGCAACATGTGGCCGAGCATTGTCATGTTGCAAAATCACTTTGTCGTGTCTCTGCTCATATAGCGGCCGTTTTTCCTTCAATGCTTGGCTCAAACGCATCAATTGTAGTCGATAGCGATCTCCCGTGATAGTTTCGTTTGGTTTGAGCAGCTCGTAATAAACTACACCTAGCTGATCCCACCAAATGCAGAGCAGAAGCTTCGAACCATGGATATTCGGCCTTGCTGACGATGTTGATGCATGACCGGGCTTACCCCACGATTTTCTACGCTTAGGGTTATCGTAGTGTATCCATTTTTCGTCACCTGTCACGATACGATGCAGAAAACCTTTCCTTTTCTGCCGTTGAAGCAGCTGTTCACATGTGAAAAGACGCCGTTCGACATCTCTCGGCTTCAACTCGTACGGCACCCAATGTCCTTGCTTTTGAATCATTCCTAATCCTTTTAAACGTTTCGAAACTGTTGTGTGATCAACTCCTAATGATTCTGCAAGTTCAGCTAGCGTCTGACATGAGTCTTCACGAAGTAATGCCTCTAATTCCTTGTCTTGGTGCACCAGATCGTTCTTTATCTTCAACATCAAAATCATTATTTTTGAAGCGTCTAAACCAATCTCTGCATGTTGTTTCCGACAGAGCATGGTCGCCGTAAGTCTCAACAAGAATTCTGTGTGCTTCAGCTGCAGATTTTTTTTGAATAAAATAGTGCAATAAAATTCCCCGCAAATACTCTTTTTTTAGCACGAAACTAGACATGTTTAACACAATGAAAAAATAAGTTGTTTACACTTTGGTGAAATGACGTATACTGAATTTCAAGGTCGCTTATTGTACTTCCTTACAGATGTGTCACCATCTAAAAATAAACACACGTGGTTCTGGTAACGCCATCTGTTGAAAAACAGCGAGAACTTATTCAAGGTCCTTATATGTTACAGTTTTTATATTTTAAAAATAAAAATACATGTTCGTTACTGCAACTTTGTAATAATACAAAAATGTTAGTTATTATTTATATTCAGTTAATTATTTTATGTATTCTTTAAGTGTTTGTTTCATATTTGTTTTATAATCTATTTTTATATATTATATTATATTTTATTTTCGGAACTCAAGTGGGTCACTTGAAATTATGAAATAGGTCACTCGGTGTCCTGTGGGTCATACGTTGCTGAGGCCTGCCTTAAAGATTACTTCTCAGAATTACAACGATTTTACACTCAGTAGAGCTCCTTTAAAGTCTAAGGGCTTATCTGATACATTATCCTTGAGATATTGCCTTAAAAAATTCAAGGATTTTTATCTTGAGATATGCAGTTCAGTCTATTTCTTTCCATGATGCATATCTTTAATGAAAAGATTAATGAAGTTGAGGTAGGGCAAACGTATTGAATTTAAATTGTAATGGCTTCAAATGCTTATGAATGATATTTAAGTGAGATTTGTATACCTTTTTGCTCAGTTGTAATTGGCAACGTGACCTCACAGTAAGCGAGAGTTGTGGGTTTGAGTCCCACTTCGGGTCAATTCTTTTTCTTCCAGATCTTTGTAAATTAATTATTAAATTTAGCAAGAGATGGCATCTAATGCTTGCCTCTAGTGCCAAATTACTTAGCATTTAACTAATAATAATAATAGTAATGTACTGATATAATAATTTGGAAATCATTTGGCATTAATATGTAGCTGTTGGGTTTGGATGTTTATATTTGTAACAGTGTAAACATTTTACTTCAATTTAATAAAACATTTTATTTTTAATTTTAATAATTCAGCAATTATAAAAAATAACTAATTAAAAAGTTGAAGAAGCAATAGCATGCGTGTGTAGTAAGTCATGTGCTGTTTTATTTTGTCAATGTGCCCTACTTTAAGGAATGCAAGGGTCGGAATTTTTACAAACTTAGTCAGGGAAAGTCAAGGAATTTAAAACAAAAATTTGAGTAGGAACCCTGAATGTATCATTTTATGGAAGCGATGTCAAAGATAAGATCTTACAAACTTCCTCAATTGAATTTAACTTTTTAATTTTTTATTTTTTTTCATACTAAATAATTATAATTTTATAAATAAATAGAAATAGCCATGGTTCTCACGTATGTAAGCCAGTTATATACTCAATCAAAATGAATGTCACAGATCGTTTCTTAGGAGCCTTGTGTCAAAATTATTATCTGAGAAAATAAGATGACGATTAGATATACTATTAGTATTTACACATACTTGCATCCAAAACTGCAAGAGTTAAAAAGTACTCTGAAAGCAATACTGTTGAAAGCGACACAAAATAATACAGCATGCACAAACAAAACAAGGAAGAAATGTTTACTTGCTAAAAAAGAAACTCTCCTTTTTAAGTATTATGGTAAGCATTGTGAAAGATTTTTACTTTCGGAACATGCTAACATCATTTGTGATGAATATTTTGAGCATTTTACTTTGTAAACTAACAACATTGGTTGATTGTGCTACAATTTCAAAAATTGCAGACGTATAAATTTCCACTGGTATCTGTGTTTGTCCTTAACCTCAAGAACAGAGTTAGACATATGAAAGTCAAGACCAGAAATAGAAAACTTAGGGACAGGACCAATTAACTATATACGAACTTCCAGTTTGGACTGGAAGTCATACTATTTCAATTCAAAAATTTTCTATCGAATGGAGTAAGATAGATGACTGATATGACTCTGTTATTAACAGGGAAAATATGTTGTATGGAGGCAGACACTGCTAAAGTTGAGAGCATTGTGACATCATCACTATGCACGTACAATAAACTTTTTAAATTTAAAATTCTGACAACCAGTATACACTTTAAAGCAAATTTTAAGTTTTTTCTAATGTATCCTGTGTACTCACACAGTAGTTTTGACACCAAGAACTCATCAGAGTCAAGATTGAAAAGTACCTGTAACAACACAATGAGTTTTACCATATTTATCTGTACAAATTCTTCTTTTCTCTTCAACATTAGTTACTATATAACCTCGGTGACCAAACTGGGGTTCTTCTAACACTTATTGTGGCTTTCATATAATTATACGATACTAGCTGTTATCTGTGACTTTGCACGTGCGGATTTTGCAAGCAAACACCATTTATATTCAGTATTTCAACAACCATAGTAATTGTTATATAACATCTTACACTGAGAATGATGATAATTGCCGAGAATCAAACAAACTATTTTCAATTTGATCAATTCTCTGGAACGTTTACAATCGTTCTATAATCAAACCAATATGCAATAACACATTTGAATTTAAAACGGTTTGAACATTTGGTTAAAAAATCGAAATATATGAAAATATTTATAACAATGTCTGAAATGTTATTAATTTAATACACCTAAGTACTCAATGAAGATGAAACATAGTTGAAAACAAAAAATCACATCTAAAATAGTACAGTAGAAGCTGTTCTTCAGGTTAAGCCTTAATCCTCTGTCTCTCTCCCCGCAGGGGAATTTCAAAACAATCCCTTCTTAGTGTGCATTCTCATGATGTACCCTAACTGTGTACCAAATTTCACCTCTTTAGGTTCAGTGGTTTGCTCTGGGCAATGATGAATCAATCACTCAGTCATTCAGTCAGGAGAAGTAACTTTATATAATTAGATTATATATATATGTGTTAGTAGCATGTCTCAAGTTTATAAAAAGAAATTGTATAACTATACAGGAGCTGCAATAATGGTCTAGAAGAGCCACAATTTGGCCACCGTGGCCGTAGAAGTTCTGCAAAATCATTTACTCAAACCAAGAAGATATTGTTTGATGTTCATTTTAAATAAAATTATTAGATTTAATTGGCTTATGGCTTATTATGAAGTTATAATTTCACACAAATTGATCTCTTCAAACAAATATCTAATTGTAAAAGTCTTGCCTTCAAAGTTTCAAAAAAAATTTTTTTTTATACAATATTATCAAATTTATATCCATTATAATTTTGAGATTAATATATAATTTTCTATATATTTTTAGCATCAAAAAGAACAGTTTTTGTCATATCGAAGATTAATAGATGGAGACAACAAAAACATATTTGAACAGTTTAAGAAAAATAAAAATGGTATTTATTCGTATCCCGAAATTCCGGTTACAATCGGTCCTGGTCCCTTCTCTAATACTCCTAGTCCTGCGGCGATTGCGATGGCATCGGCATTGAATCGAACTCAGCATCCGTCAGGTAAATATAAGCATTTATTCAGAAGTCCTTTTTTTCTGCTAGTTTCTCATCAGTATATTTTCGCCACAGTTTATAATGTAAAAACTTTTATAATTTTGGTATATTTGTAACATAGATTAAATGCCAATCAAGACTTTCCTTGTAGAGAAATATTATTTATCAAAACTCCTAATAGAATAGAAATTTCAAAATAAAAAAGAAGTCAGTAATCACATTACAGACGTACTTAAAACAGGGAAAAAAATTTCTAACATTTATTTTTCAACAGAATCCCTATAAACATTTAGAAACATTTCCCAATTGACTAGCTTCTGAAAACATGCTGCAGAAAAGTCTACTGATTTTAATTAGAGGCACTGCAGTAAAGTTCCTGACTCTCTTTTCATTGTCTGAGAAATAGTTGCTTCTCGAATATTCATTTAAGGTGTGTAAATGTGATCGTAGGTAATCCCAGAGTTGATATTGAGCAATTGTCAGTTTTTGATTTTTAATGAATATTTCAGAGTAAGAACATTTTTCAAGTGATGAGGAGATTTGGGAACATGCATTGACTCCAACAGTAAGTCAAGAGATTTTATGCAGCTGTTTTAGGAAACTGACAAGATAATTAAAGTTCGTGCTTTAATTTTCACTCTCTTTCTCTCTGTAACCTAATTACAGTAGAGCATTGATTATTCAAAATAATTGTGGAGGGACAATTTTGGTTAACTGATCACACTCGGTAGGGAAAGAATAAAAAGATAAATATGTTAAATAAACTAAAATTTCTCATTTTTAATTCTAGTACAATAGTAAAACAGATTATGGAATAGAAATTTTAATATATATGAATGATAAAATGTAACAAATAAGTGTATCTTCGTTATTAACTTATTTCTTTCTTATAGGTAAGCAATTTGCTTATTTTTGGTTTTTATTTTATTTATTAGTTTTTTGTATTTTATTGACAGATGCTCCCAAACTTTAACTAATTATTATATTTGATTTTTTAATATTTAATTTGTATCTAAATTGTTATGTATTTAATTTATTATTGTATAATCTGTTTGTGATCTTATGATCATTGTATTTGTGTTTTTGTTCTTTGGGAGTTGGTTTTGCTCCCCGCATCAAGGAGTGTATCCAGTATGCGTAATAAATAAAAATAAATAATAATAATAAGTGTGTAATTTATTAAAAATAAGTGTTACTCTTTCATTGCAATCTACCAATGAAACTTTGAATTCAAAGTAAAAATATATAGTAGTAAAATGAACAATAAATAAAGTATAATACCCATACAAAAATTATTTATTACAGTTATTTTTCAAAAATTATTGTCATTTTATTTTGTTTTCTTAAATATCTTAGTTAAACAAATCCATACTTACCAAATGGAGATATCTGAACATTTTTTTAAAATTGGTGTTTGTTATGCAATTATCATAAATATTAAACATTTAGCATTCTACACAATATTTCCAGGAAGTAAGATGTAACACCTTTTAAAACTAAAAGTAAATTATTAAATAATTCTTTTAACTTCACAGTTGTGTGTTTGCAAATGTATAAGAACTCGGCGAGTCAGTGATCCAAAAATAGAATCTTAATATTTGATATAAAGAAAAAGAAAGTTGCTGGGAAAAACAAGTTTAAATTTAGAAAATATTCTCAAAAGAGAGAATACATAAAAAGTGTGCTCAAACTTTGTCCCTTTCACGCATATCAGAAATTAAGTCTCACAGTGGAAGAGGCGAAGTTTGAGGACATTTTTTATGTATTGTCTCTTTTGAGAATATTTTATGAATTTTCTAAATTTAAAATAGAATCTTAACTTTATTTATTCTGGTTGATTGCATGTATTGTTAAATGCATTTCGGGCCAACTTACAGTGCCTCTTTGGTAACTTTTATTGAATCAGTCATATCCTTAAATACAAAAATATATGCAAACATGACAAAATATTTTTATCACCAATACATTAAACAAATACCAATTAATACTGATACATTAAACCATAAAGGAAATAAAAATAAAATATTTAAGATTCCTGTTTACATTAAAACTGTAAAACAACAAAAATATTTTTTGTATAAACTTACATTTTAAGGTATTTAAAATCCATTTAATTTCCATAACTGACTGACAATAGATTTTTTTTTTTTTAAAGGTGGTAGTTCGTTAGGAACCGTTTCTAATCAAGGCGGAGGATTTGGTTCGTCAGGATTGGGAACAGGTAACATTCTACCTGTATTTGAAACATTTCTTGACTCGTTTAACATATAATTATCATTAATGAAAACCTAAACTAATGCAAAAATTTTTTATTAATTGTACAGATTAGTTTATAATTGAAATTATGAAATATCACTGATTACTTCAGTATTGATGATGACAATGATGTTCCAAAACTCAAACTGACTAATTCATACTTTAAATGAAGTTATATTCTGTTTATTTTTTATGTAATTTATTTTGTTTTTTTCCTATTCTTTATGATACAAAAAATGATGCATATTTGGTGCAAACTTTTAAAAAATGTATTTACAAAATTACATATATTGGATGATTGAGCAAAAAGTTTACTCAATTAATAAAGTGCTTGGTGATGCTACACTTATTCTTCTATTGAATATCGTCGGAAACACTTAAATCTTGACTGTTTTTTTCTACAGACTAAGGATAACATATGAAACTTTAAATAAGTAAATTTGGTGGTGTGTGATAAGTTGTTCAGGCACCACTTACTTCTATTGTCATCAAGTCTACTCCTTACGAATAAACTTTTTGTGTAGCCACCTATACAATTGATACAGTTACTATAATGATTTATTTGCGTTCGGTCTAGCATTGTTTAATTGTGTATTTCTTTTCTTTTTTAGGATTGGGAACTGGATCTTTTGGTGCTCAGCCAAATTTGTTCTCTGGCTCCACGCTAAATCTCGGAAGTAGCTCCATATTCAAACCCCTAGGTAAATAGCGGTAAGAGTTCATTTTCTCCGTTTATTTTTTGTCTTTAATACTTTCTTAAATAATTTGAGATAATGTATTTAACTTGATATTGCAATAATACATATGAATATTTTATATTAATCTTTTGAAAATTTTCTTTATAAATTAAATTAAATTTTTTTTTTCTTTATCATATTATTTATAGCATTAATTAGTGGCATCTGCCATTGATTCTTTATCTGGTGTTGTGTTTTGTCGGTAATTCATAATCTACTTCTGTAAAAAATTACAGTTATTGTATTTTTCTCAAATTGTGAAAGAATGCGGCTGCAATTTTGCTTACTTTTAGGTTTCGTTTTGCATAACAGTTCACAAATAATTTTAAAATTTACAAAATATTTTATTAAATTAAATCAAACATTGATATTGATCATGATATAAGTTTTTGTAATAATTAAACATATTATAGTGGAGTACCATACATACCTTTCTTAGTGAACTTGAACCAAAAAGATGTGCAATCAGAATTAAGTACCTATGTGTTTGGGAATTTTATTCACTTGGCTACTGGATAGTGGCCAAGTGAATAAAATTTCCAAACACTGGTAGTTAGTCACAGGTTTTTTGCCAAACTTATGGGAGTTTTTCCAGTTTTCCATATAATGTCTTCACAGGAAGCATTCCTCCTTGGATCAACTGTGTGTTAGATTGCTATATCCTGTCAAACCAACTAATCAAAATTAAGTAAGGCTTCGTCACAAGAAGGCAGAACTAATAGCTTTTATACAAACTCTCTTGCTGTTACAGGATACAAAAAAATGTGTACACATACCTGTATTCTGACCTCCTCACACCCGTTGGTTAATTAACTATTGTTAATGCTCATCCTCAGAGAGGATGATCATTGGATGAGGTTGAGCATTAATAGTTAATGCTCATCCTCATCCATTTAATTTTAGGAATATGAAGAGAATAAAGATTTTGAGAATAGAACAAAGAATATGTTCTATTGATAGATATTCTGAATACATTTGCTAAAAGAATACTGTGATATCTATAATCTTTACTAGAACGGAAACAATGTGTGAATGAGATTCATAATGAACTTTTTGTGTATAATCAAAATGTTTTACCATTGAAAATGTTTGGGATCAGTGTGAAATAACACATAAATGTGAAACGGTGTTCCACTGTGTTTTGCTAGAGGTTTCATCTCAATTGTCTTTGACAATCTGTGCTTTGTGCTTCATATTTCTTCACGATGCTTTTCACATAATTTTGTAATCGATAATTCTCTGTAAACAATATCACTTTTATGTATTATTTACAGTTATTTAATCTAAATATCAAAACCTTTTAATAAAAAATGTCAATAGTAAGTCAAAAGAAAAGTACTTTAAAATAATGCAATCAAATTTTTTTTCATAAAGACATTTAATTTCATAAAACATTTTATATCCGTGAATGAGTGAGAGGGGTCCATATAATTTTATATACATCTTATAACTCCAATTTATTGTCTGCCAGATGGCCAAGACATTGAGGCATCAGCCTATCTCTGGAGATCCAATATTGAATTCAAATGAATTGGAAATCTTCAGGAATTTTTGAATGGTGGCTGTTCTAGATGTGTCGGACCCTCGTTTCCCGGATACCTCATTGTGGGCCTTGCCAAACTCCCAATGGGTTAATATAAAGACCCTCTTAGTACATACAATGGAAGGAGTTTTTTTAAACCCTAGTTTTTGAGCATATTCCTTTCTGAAAACTTGCAAATTGGAACTAGCTCTTTCATTATTTCTTACAGTTGAAGTTTGGCTTTGTTCCAATGATTTTAATTTAAATAATACAAAATAAATGAATGTCATATGGGTTATTTGTCAATATAAAAGAAACTAATAATTTAAGAAATTGAGAAACAAATATCTAACTTATTAGACATGTCTTTAATTAAATTGTAAGAAAATAAAACTTAGTTAAGACAATAAGTAAGCAGAAAACAAGTAAAATAAAATTGCTTTTCAATGAAATTGTAATCAGTAATTATAGCTGTTAAGATCTGTAGGGATAAAGTTTACTATACAATTGCATTAGAGCAAATTGACCAACCCTTGTGACTGAGACAAGGAAATGGAGATTGGGTCCTACGAGCCGTCTAATTGTAGTGTTTGGAACTTTTGATCTCCTCAAACTAGTGATTACAGCATTTTGTTTTTATAATTATCAATTGGTGTACATTATATTGAGTATTTTGTCTTTTAAATTGGGGAGAGAGCAAGAAGAAAAATGGTTTGTTATATTGAATTCTTGTGCATCAAATATGAGTACTTATATAATGGGATCACACTATACAATATTTTGTAACAAAAATTTAACGGTAAAATCTTTACATCACTTAATTGTTAATTGCAAACAAAACAGACTAGTCTATTATATTTTGATTAAATTAATGTAATAATGTCAATTATTAATATTTGTTGTACATTATTTCAGAACACAAATATGTAATGAAACCAATCTTTAAATCTAGCCCCGTTTTAGCTTGTCTGACATCACAGCAAGCAAAGAATTGGAACACAAAAATGACTCGGTATCCTTTTATCTTTCAAACGTTATATTTGAAACTGTATTTGGGTGTATGGTTAAAAATTTCTCCTTAAAATCGAGAAATGTTAAATGAAGTTTAAGTTCTAATGTTTCTATGGAACAACAGAAGTAAAAATTTAATATGTAATGTAAAATGTAAATGTTAAATGGAACTTCACTATGTATAGAATGTTTTGATGTAACTTTAATGTAAAAATTAGTCATATGCCTAGTCATAGTAAATTCACATGGAAAATTCTCTATGAAATGACAATTTAATCATTAATATACATTTACGAATAATATAATTTACGCTAAGATGAATTCTTATTCTATATGATTAAATTTAATTACTTTGACAAGGTTTAATGGTAAAATCATGCTTTTATTTCATTAAAACATACTGTTTTTTGAGAATTTATCATTAGTTGTTTTAAAATATTTTATAATAATGTATGGCTTTGTTTTTCCTTTTTTTTAGGTTCTCTCAATACAAATTCTACGTTTGGCAGTTCGTTATTAGTTCCAAACAGTGATGTATCCCCGCAGACACCTTATCCCATAAGTAACCAAAATAAGCCATTTCAACTTCAGAAGCCTCCCGCAGGCAATAAGAGAGGGAAGAGATGGACAAGTACTTGAAACTAAACAGAACGTTGTTAATGTCGAGAGTTTTAAGTTTACCTATACAAATTTTAATAATTTTGAAATAAAATTTTATTGTATTTTCGTACGAAATCTTTTTGCAGTTGCTTAACGGAATCATTCTTTTATGACAGAATTGGCATATTTAACTGGCGAGAATACATTGAAACTTTGAAGTTTTGGTGTGTTTTTGCTACGCTTCTCTGTTCTATTATGCAAAAGTAAGCAATAAATCACTGGTACTTTAATTATGTTTGTCATCTACTATTTTATATAATTTATTGCTTCTGTGCAAATATTATAATAGCAGTGAGACCTTTCGTCTCGCTTGCTACATATAAAAGTGTCGTCTCTGTCACTATGGCTACCAACAAACACAATTTGTATTGCTCAACTGGCCTAACTCAATGTGATAGCAAAGAAAACATACCAAGCAAAACCCCGGATCTTTCTGTGGCCAAATTGTCTACAAAAGGGGCTTGAGGCCCAAATCAGACTCTAGAACTGGCAAATGGTTGCCTTTACTATTTCAATTGTCCAACTGTCACAGAATGCGCTGAACTGTCACAGAACTGCCTGTTGGATTGTATTTCAACATTAGACGGGACACTCCGAAGATTAAAGAGCCATGATTTAAATGTGGCTACTCTGGCTTTTGGTGACCAGCCACTTCAGCTTATGAGACAGATGAAAATAAATCAAGTTCAATTAACAAAACAAGCATTTTTAATCAAAATTCTTTCATTACTGTTGGAAGACAGCTGTATTATTGTCTGATATCAAAGTCTTGATACTTAAAGCAGCGAAGAATCCAGTCATTCTGGTCATACTACAGGGTGTTCAATAGGTTTCGTAACCCACAGTTAATTGCAGTATATTGTATTGTACGTCGAAAACGAGACATTCAGAGATTCAGACAAGTGCATGTGTCAAATCATGTTGCATAATATCGGTCGGTGTGCATTCTGAGAAATTTTACCACAGGGTTCTGAATATCCATCCACAAATCTGCCAGTTTGTGCAGATGTAACGAGTGCTTCAGGTATGTCCATGTAGTTGTGGATTTATGTAGCACTCAACAGTGTGAATATCTGTTGAGAAGACCACCTTACAGCAAGTTACAGTACTATTCAATCATCTAAGGAAAAAATAACTTGTGCGATTGCCATGCAACCCATGATTTCCCATAGGTCGCGTCACTTATCAAACACCCTCTATTTGCCAGTAAAATATCAAAGATATTGCTTGCAGTATTAATATTTTTGACTGAATTTTTTTACAAATGGTCCACATAGACTCGAGATCATTGATTTTAAAAATTTTCATAAAAATTTATGTTAATTTTGTTTTTATCCACCGGAGAGTTGGAAAATAAAATAACAGATTGTATGATGGAGTCATTCTTAACACTCATTTTTATACAGTAAAAAGGTAATAGTATTTTTTTAATAGTGATGTTTCATATTACTCTCTAATTTTTTAATAGATTATTTTCACTATATAACAATTCTTGCCGTATTAACTATTGAGAATTAGATCATATCGGTCCACTGTCAAGGGTTTGAATCCAATTATATTCGTAATTTATTGTGGTTAATTCGAATTGGCAACAGTCGCGGCACAGAAGACACCAGACTACATTGCTCCAGGAGAGACTGGCCATCTCCGATTCAAAAATTTTCATGCTAAATCCAAATATGTCTGAGATTTGGGCTCGTGCATTATTTCCAGTACCTCGTCTATGTCGGTTACCCCATTTTAGGTCAGCTGTTAGAGACCGTGCACACGGGAGGAACTCTGGAGGTTTAACTGGAGTGGTTAAATTTCCAAAATTAAAAAGTAACAGTATATTTTATATAAGATTTATTTCTTTTGTCCTGTATTCGTTTCCTCCCAAAGTGCATTGTGTTAATATCTAAGTGTATATTATAAAAACAAACTAGAAAACAAAATGGGTTTTTTAAACCATATCTTAATAGAAATCCCGCACGTCGGCATATGGTCACAAACGTGCAAAAATTATGCCGAATCAGCCCACGTCGATTCCACGCATCGAACCAATTTTGAGGGCTTAGGAAACAAAGCACTTCAGTTTTCCTTCTATGAAATTAAATATTTGAATTTCAATAATGGTTCATTTATATTCATGAATTGTTTCGCGCCGTGTCAATTATTTTATTATAATCACGAGCTATGTAGTCTGCCATATCGGAACGCCCGCCTGTTGAAGAACGGGACCCAAAAAATGGTGAAAATTTTCCGGTAACTTGATCGCCCGAATTCGATCCCGGATCCCCACAGCGATCCGCCGACCGCTGTGGGGAAAATCCATCCATCGGGAAATTTGGATTCGAGTTCAGACCTCATTTTCACGAATTTATCATAATGCTTAATAGAACTTAAATTGGATTAATTTTATATTAAGTAAATGAAAATGGCGTAGAGGGGTGTTCGATGTCGATGAAAGTCACGAAAATTAGCGAAAGATCAATTTATAATTTCGATGTTGCACAGATTTCATTACATTTTATCATCATTATTATTTTTAAAACTATAAATATGGTAAAAAAGACGATAAAAATTTCGTTTAAATAATAAATTTTATCGTCTGGTTTTCATTATTTCTGTCCACGTAAAGTGTTGCCACGTGTCCAGCAAGGAAAGTAATTTTAAAATGCGTGAAAACTTCGAGGTAAGTATTAATCGTGTCTTAATTCGATTATCGATAAATCGATTAATTAAAGACGACGACGACCAATTTTAGCTCGAATAATTAACGAAAAGATTTTAAAATTTAAATTTGCGGTTTAATGTCGGGTAATTTAAATGGCCGGCGCTTCCATACGTAGTCAATATTACGCTGGTAATTGTCAATCTTGCAGAATTTTCGTGTTTAAATGGAGTTTTTTCGTATATTTAAGCTGGAATTTTTATATTCTGGTTAAAAACTGGTGAGTCGATCGGAAATGTATCAAATATTCAATTATTTTGATTGTAATTAATGTTAATTGTGTTAGTTAATTAATCGATTGGTTATTAATATTTACAATTAGTACCTGGAGCAGTTTATCTTCATTTCCTGTGTTTTGGAAATGTCCGGCAAATATCTCTCTCGAGATAAAATGCCCCGTGTTAGGGGTTCTTGATGATTAATTTTGCTTTTAATTAATTAAAAAAATTAATGTATCCGTGGCTGGACGTTTACCTTTTCCTCCTGCGGCTGTCGACGTCTCGGTGTCTGTGCACCGCTCGTTCCTTTCGACCGTCTGTACGTTAACCGTCTGTGGCCTGGCCCGAAGTATTCGAAGCCCGCATATGGGCGGACGCTTCCGCTGGTCGGTTGTGGGTTAGCATCCGGCCGAGTTTGTTCGTTTGTCCGGCACCTAAATGGAGTACGTTTTCTGTAGAATTCTCCTGGTGGAGTGCTTTTTCTGTGATTTCTCTTGCCTTGCTTTGCCTTATTCCGGCCAATTTTGAAGCCGCGGTGTCTTTTAAAGGGTGCGGACTATTCTTATGCCGGCGATGGGTCCCGAAACGGTCTCTGCGAGATGTTCTGCTTCCGCACTTTACTTTTATTCTAAACTTCGTTTATTGATATAAAATATCGGGTAACCGAATAAATAATGTCATTTTTTGAAATGTGTATAAAAATGCTTGTATTTTTTGTATAAGATAATTTTATTTGCCAAAATATTCCCCTTTGCGTTTGATTACACCTATCCAATGGGAGATTAGTTTGAAAATACCATTTTTAGCATTAAAAATTGAATCGCTTCTTCTTTTATGGCTGCGTGATTTGTGAATTGTTTTCTGCGAGTACGATTATACAAAGGTAAAAAAAAAAATGTGGTGATCTGATAGAAATGAGTTGACAGAGTGGGAAGGATGAGGTAAAGTTCCTGTCCTGATTGCATCATTTTGTTTCTTGTAATTTCTACAATGTGTGGGTGAGAGTTATGTTGTAAAAACAAAATAATGTCTCGACGATTTGCCAAAGATTGCCATTTTGATCTTAATTTGTCATGTACTGTATTCTTTGTAGCTACTCAGTGTAGAAATCTGCTGTGAGGATGTGATCAATTTTCGAGTACTCGCGACGAACGATACTCCTCGAAGTACAGTGGTGCCTCGTATAACATACTTAATCCGTTCCAGGTGCACGTCCGTTAAGTGAAAAGTCCGTTATACGAAACTCATTTTCCCATAGAAATACATGTTAAAACATATAATTCGTTCCGCAGCATAAAATAACCGTACTGTACCATAAAAAATGAAAATGGAGCAGTCACCAATTATGCCGGATAGTCAAATGTTGTGAGGAGGAGGTGGAGGAACACTTTCTTCACACATTCATACAGAAAGAGACTTTTTACACATTGCAGCAGGTCTCTTTTTATTGTTTTTTAATCAGAGTCAGATTCAGGATAGGCTACCAGAGCTTGCAGGGTCAACTCCTCTTGTTCCATCTTTTGTTATTTGGCAGCTGGCTTCTTGAAAATCATGCCCAAGGTGGCTGTTTCTCTCTCTTTTTCAACACCTGTCAGAAATGATGGGCAAGGGTGTCATTGTAGAGATCCTGTTGGCCTCAGCTCTGTTTGGATAATAAGTGTTGGTAAACTCCTGAACCTCTCCCCATTTGACAAGGAAGTTTTTGTCAACTTTCACTCCTTCTGATGATTTCTTGCTTTGTTTCAATTGAAATCACTTTTCTGTTTTTTCAGAAGCCATGATTTGCACAACACTTGAATAAATGTAAATATCCTACACTAAGGTGATGTACGTAATAAACAAGGGAGCAATCTGAATCCCAACGGGAGCTCAGTACTTCGGATATACTAATAATATATTCTAATAATACTAATATATTATAAAAATAGCATATTGTCATTGGCAATGACAAAAGAGTGGAAACATCATTTGCACTTGTTCACAGAAAGTCACAGAAAGTCAGTGCCTCACGTAACTGCCGAACGGAAAGTCTGTTGTTCGCAGCCAGTCCGTTGCTCGAGTCACGTAACGGCCAAACAGAAAGTCCATTGTTCGCAGCGTCCGTTATTCGAGGCATATGTTATACGAGGCACCACTGTATGCCGAAAATGACAAAAGATTTTTTTGGAAGTCGTTCAAATCATTTATAAAAACAATATTTTCAAACTGCCATCCTGTTGAGAAAGTGTAATTAAATGTGAAGGTGAATATTTTGATGAATAATTATTTTTACTGCATATCAAGGTGTCTTGAACAAGATTTATGAAACATACTGTATGCATTATCATAATTATAAATTATAGATAGCTTTACTAACAAAGTATTCTTTCTTTTATTCATTAAAATTATAGTTCTTGTAATTGTTCTGCAGTCGTTAGATTGTTAGCAATAATATTGTCTGTTGTAATTTCTGTTGTAGCAAAACTTCAATAAGAAAGGCCTATAGTACAAGTATTAGCTCACTTTGAGTTAGGAAGACTGTTCATTTTCTTTTTTTTTTTTCTGTAACGATTTTCAAGTTTAATATATTAGCTTTTGAATTGAATAAAAGTGATATTAAAAATACTATAAATTAAAAAAAAAAGGAAAGATGCTAAATTTGTAGCTTGTGCATAACAAAAGAGAATGCATTCAATATTCTGCATGATTTTAAATGATAATCTTGAATTACATGTAGGTAATTTTAATATAATAAGGTGCTTTCTGGTGTCTGTTGGAGTGAAGATATTTATTACATATTTGGAAATAATCATTTATTTTTGATAGTTAAATATTTGAAGTCATTTTAGCTTGGGTGGTCCTGGCAGTTCCTGTTGCTCCCTAATCCTTAGCATTTTTCTGCAGCCTCCGAAATGTTCAATGGCCCTTTGGGCTGCATGTCCCCCATCTTTATTTCACGCAGTATAGTGCCACGATAGTATCACTCCCTGTTGTATATCATAGTAGAACATTATAGTTAGTTACAAATTTATTGACTTTTTTATTATGGATAAAATGGCAGATTTTTAAAATGTTACTGGTTCTTTGACTGTAATTCAAAAATCAGTGCACTAGTAATTGTTAGTTGCAGTGTTTTTGATGAGTTGGCAAATAAATACTCTTTAGTGCCCTAAGATCAATTGAATTTTCTTTTTTCTATTTTGAAAAGCAAAAGTTTTGTCATCCAGAAAATAGTGTGTGCTGTAAGTTTTTACTTGCCTTGATTAAAAAGTGTAAAAAGTGACCAGTGTGAGCACTCGCATTAAAATAAGCATATTCCACTTTGTCAACTAAAATGTTGCACTCCCAGTGTTATAAGCTAAGAAATAAATTACTGAAATTTCCAGAATTGCTGTAATATGATACTTTAATGATACAAAAATTGTAAAGAACTATAAAATGATGATTTAAAAGATAAATGATGTAAACTACTATTATAATTTAAAAACATTTGACATTTCTGTCTTTAACGTGTTGACTGCCAACCTATTATTGCTAAAATCACTCTCCCAATACTATTTTGATTTTGACTTACTTAAAAAAAATGGAATTTCCATTTTTTTTTAAATCCAAAATGAATATTCTGTTCTGTGATGCCATAATTATTTTTAATTCTTAATCCAGATGCCGACTATCCATTATTAACATTTATTTTCTACAAGTATGTTCACATATGTCAGATGCCATAGGCCAGATCGCATTTCACGAGATAGCCCACAGGTGGCATTCTAAGAGAAACCATCACGTTCAAGTTAATTTGTAGTTGGCAATGAATCTGTTAATATATAAAAATATAGATATATATGAAAGTGTATATGTGTAAATTATTAATGTATGTAACAATAGCATTCTTTTTACTTGATTATCAGTAATGCAATCCCTAATTGCAATAGACCTTTGCTTTGGATTTGCCAATTGCATCGATGCCGTACAGTCGACTGTAACGATCGTTGTAAATAGCATTTGATGTAGTATTTATTTATACTGAACTTTTATATTTAACTCTATGTTAAATAAGTTCACCAAAAACAATGTTTAGTTGGAAATATTTGCAGTGGAGTTGGTTATAAGAAGTTGCCCACAGTGATCATTAGGATGTTCCACTTGCTTACCTCCCTACTGTAAAGGTTTGAATCTCATCCCAGTCGTATTATGTTAGCTTAGCTTTGGAGAGATTTTCTGTAGACATAAAAGTTAAGTGATACATTGGCATATAGAGTAACGTAGAACTATATAAAATTTATTATATTAGATCCATTCAAAGGTGATGATGATGCTTCAGCAGAGGCAGCTGATCCATTTGGTGCTGATCCTTTTAAACATGATATTTAATGTTGTCAAGTCGGACAGACACACATAAACATATCGATTAAGATTTTTAGTTTATTTTATGTTAGAACTATATAAAATTTATTATTTTAGATCCATTCAAAGGTGATGATGATGCTTCAGCAGAGGCAGCTGATCCATTTGGTGCTGATCCTTTTAAAGATGCTTTTAGCAGTACAGCAGATACAGAAATTAAGGTATATGAGCATTTATATATTTGAATATTATTTACATTTATTTGGCGTATATGAAAATTTATATTAAATATAGATTCGTTTACTATAAAAAGTGTAAAGTTAATAACTTTAATATGCAGTAATCTATTTTTGGTTGTGGTTTTGCTTACATATTTATATCTGAAATATCATTCTTAAGAAAAATAAATTACATCAAACTTATTGAAATTAAATTATGATGTAGAAAGTATTAAATTCTTTCCAATATACCCAATTAATATATATGTTATAGTTGATGATGTGAAACATAAAATGATACAAACATCTGTTCATTTACATGAATGACCAAAGTAGCATGACAATGATGTCTTTGACCAAATGTTTGTATTATTGTTCAAACACATTAACATTTATGTTCTTCACTAGATATTATGTTCTTTTCAAATGAGTATTGTTGACAATGACTGTATATTGGATGTGAATGGTAGTCAGTCATTGGTCATTGTTAAATATCAACATGACAAATTTTGGTTGTTCTTTTTAATCCTACAGCATCACACACCTATTATTAAGGACATTTATTTAGTTATACATTATAACACAAGCATATAAAATATATTTATTGGGAACGTTTTTGTAGGCCTTTTTTTTGTCATTACATGAAATTGCATAATGGAGTTGCTAAAAATAGCAAGTTCCTTATGGATTTGGCCAGACCCACAATGGGGTGACTGAATGATGAGGAATGTATATGAACAGATTACCTGCTGAAAAATCCCTGGAGTTTCTCAATCCATCCATTTTTGTTCTAGGTTCTCAGAGTGGTAGGCTGTCATTTAACCACTTGGCAATCTGACCATCTAATAGTAATTATGCCACTGCTTTGATTCAACATGATTGATGTCTTTACTCCTGCTACTTAGCTGGAAGCTGGAGTTATCAGATGGCTGATAAATCCACTAGTCAAACATAGCCTGGAAAAGTTAGATTTTGAATAAAAATAAGACTGTAAAACAATGTTATTGGCCAGGTTAAATCAAAGTAGTATTTTTATTATAATGTCTAACTGAAAAAATATTATTAAATGTATTTTTCCTTAGGGAAAACAGTAAATGTACAAGTGCAGGGGCCAATTTGATCCAATTGGCCTTTGGTCTTGCCTGGGTTTCAACATTTAAAAAAATAAATAAAGGATGCTTAAATAGTGCATAAACTCTAGTGTAGAGCCTATATTATTTTTCTATTACTTAGACAAGATGTACAGGCCTTTGTGAAAAGCAAATAGTCTCTTATATATTAATAAAATAACAAAAGCCAAAATAAGGTTATGGTTTTTTCAGCTTAACTTGGCAGTTATCAAAAGAGACTGAACTACTTTTTATTCAGTTGTAGAAGAAGTTATGTAGAATAGAAAAATTTAATTATTTTCAGCTGTTTTGTGAAATAGAATTCATAGAAGTATAACAGGTTCTTTTTAGAATAGATTCAAAAGCCAGTTTTTAAACTAAAATATTTTCATGATGTATTTGCATTTTATTTCTAAAGTTTGTTAAAAAAAAGTTTTAAAGATGAAAAAAATATTGTTAATTAATATTTATTTAATCTTAAGTGCTAATATTTTATGTACAGTACAAAACTAATAGACAATGTCTTGCAGTCATTTGTTATGTATTTTCAGAAAATGTTTAATAGTAAGTTTTGTGCATCAATATTTTCTTATATGTTTTCAAGTTTATAAATGGTATAACATTAAACATCATAGATGGCATTTGCANGGATAATGTATTCATCTGGCCTGCTAGAATTAGAGCTCTGCCTCAGGTTAATCTTTTTTCCAAATATTTTAAAATTAAAATATCAGTTAAAAATTAAATTTAACTAGAGCATCCGATGACTTCATTATATTGCAATAGAATTGAGGCAGAGCCAGAAAGAAAGAAGCAACCTCATGTACCTGTTAGGCATAGAAAAGATAATTCTTGTACCTGACAGATGTGGACAAGTGAACTTTGCACTTGCTGCCACAAAAGAGTCTATCCTGCTACCTGCTTGCCTTACGAGAGGCGATTTATGTTTCTGCTGGCCATGGGAGACATGATCCTTGCACCATCTGGGTACAGAGAGGTGATCCTTGCACTGGCTGGGTATGGTTTGCACATGCCGACATGGATAGGTGATTCAAGAACATTTTGTTCATTTCTCATGCCTATTTTTCATTAGGTGCATGCAATGCTGTTTTTATTTTTGACCGCTAGGTCTAAATTCTGTTAGGTGTGCTCTTACGTGGACGTTGTCACTTTAATACCTCTATATATCAAAAATGAAGTCATGGACCCTCATTACATTTTTGGATTTCTCATTGCAATTAATGGAAAATGGCAAAGTTTAATCAAAATCAATCAAACAGATTTTGAGAACAAACACAATTCTGTAAGCCACATAGATAAGACTTCACTAATGCTCCACCTCAATGAATAAGCAAGATTCCATTATAAACTATTAGATCAAATTATTTTTACAATAAAAATTTTAGACACCAATAAAAAAAAAAATTGTGAAATTGGCTTTGTTTTGTAATTGTGATGACACCTGTTATCACATCTGTAGATCATTTTAAAGTGGCAATGTTGTAGCCCTAAACATGTAATTTAATCCTATATTTGATTTATATAAGTAGTCTTAAGATAAGCCCCAAAATTTAATTTATATGAATACATAACATCACGCTTTGGATGCAAATTTTGCTTTTGTTTTAGTTTTATGTACAATTTTTTTTCCTCTTGGGATTTGAATTTTGTTTTTGATTAAAATGGTATTTATTGAAAACATAATATTAAACTTATAAATTATGTTTAATGATTAAAACTTAAAGATTTGAATCAATAACATCATGCAGAGTTATTGAATAATTTTTATTTATTAATCAGTGATACTGTAAAATATTAATATTGAATTTTATATTATACAGTAGAATCTCGATTGTCTGGGATTGCATTAACTGGAATGGCAAAAAATCTTACAGACGAGTCATTAAATTGTTGCAAACTGCTTTATGGCTCATCCGCTTTGTAGCAGGGAGAAGTGGAAGAAGAATCTAGACATTGGCAAAATGTGCCATTAATTATGAGTAATGATTTGTAAAGTAGTTGCATGTGTTAGTTTCTTTGTGCTTCTTTAAAATTTTTGTTTTGTTTGGGGTCCAAAATATTTTGTCTATTATATAAGTTGCACTAAAAGCACCTGACAAGGAATTCTACCAGGAACATCTAGCACAATACATACAAAACAGCTCATTGATGATTTGATGATATATATCATTAATAAGAACCCTGACCCTGACCCTGACCCTGACCCAAATCACTGTTGGAGAAAGAAAAACCCTCTTCCCAAATTTTGGATATTACAGGATGAGGTTTCCTGGTAAAAATGAAGGAAAAAAACAAGTGTGAGATGTACCAAGAAGAGCAAGGTGGGGGCTTAGACTGACTGATAGTCATCCATCACCCACCAGCTGGCTTAGTCACCATCTACCTTTTGCCATTTAAGATTGATCTGTGACGTTGTTGCCAACTGGCAAATCCACACTTGACTTCCACATCATTATCATTCAATTACTGTTAGAAGGAAGACTCTGATGACCTACTTCCAGTCCTCTGCTATTTGTTTTATATTTAATGTTAACCCAGTATTACACTTGTAATCTTGCACATTGACGCACACTGTTTCTCAAGATGTTATTGTATTCTCCATGCTACATACAAGTAAATACATTTGGGGATTTGAGTGTGTGTGTTACTCTCTACCTAGACCCACATGACCTTGACCTTTTATCAAGGAGTGTCGTATATTTAAGTTCATGTCCACTAACAGTTCAGGTCTGCAGCTTCATTCACATAAAAAAGAGCAAAATCTGACATTTATTTACTGGATACAGGATTTAAACATATACCATATTAAACCAAGATGGCATTTTTTCCATTCATCTCAGATAAACGAGTCTACTGTATTATTTTTATTTTGTAATGTTTCATTATAAAACTAATTGTTTTTATCTTTTTTATCCCTCTTGAAAGAATAATTTGTTCATCTTAGATCCAATCACTGAAAAACTCTCTATGGTAAGAAAATAATTACACTAATAATCTGAAAGGATAAATTTCAAAATTTATTGGGTGAGTGTAGTTATGTTTTTGCTTTTTTACTCTTTTACTCCATTCAATATGAAAATAATAAATTACTAATTAAATGTTTTGCATTAATAGTTGAAAGAAATGTCCGAATCCGACAGTGACGTCGAATTTGAAAGTGCTGATGAAGGCGAAGAGTCGGAATTAAAGAAAGATTCAAATAAAAGTTCGGTAAAAAAAGAATATGACTCTGAAAGGTTGCAGCTGTCTGCAGGGTGTGAAAAAGATACTAATATTGCTAATATCAAAGAAGAAGACTTGGTACTTACTGAAAATAATATAAATAAAAATAAAACAACTGAAGAAACTGTTAAAAGTGATGTAAATCCATTAAATATAGAATTGAGAGATGAAAATGTTACGCATGACCTCAACAAAAAGTTTTCTACAGAAAGAAATGTCAAGAATGAGAACTTAGAAAATGCAGAAGAGATGACAAAAAATAGTTTGCGAGATTTAGAAAACGAGCATTCTAAATGCAACCGGTCTGAAGAAAAATCTGCTTTGTTTCAAAATGTCGAAACAAAACCGAGTCGAGTTAAATTAAGATTTGAAGAACGACTGGAAAAAAACCAGAAAAAAGCTGCCAAGTCTCCAGACCATCGGGAAAAAGAAGTGGAAGTCTTAAAAAAATTGGAAAATTTGACTGTGCAGGAAGAAAATGTAAGTTAGTATCCAAATAAAGGTAAATTTTAAATTTAGTAGAATATTTTATTTGCTTACATTATAATTTTTAATAAGTCAGGAACTATTAGTACCAATTGCATTATAATGTATTTCATTGTTCAATACAAGATTTGCATTAAAAATGATAATGTATATACAGTGGTAACTCAGGATACGAATGCTCCAGCATACGAAATTTTCAGGATACGACATGAAATTCGAACATATTTTTGCTCCATGACACGAACAAAAACTCACCATACGTTAACTCATGTTACGTTGGTTCGCGGCGCCATTTTTTATTCACTTCTGTTCATTGGTCTCAGTCCGCGTGTTTGCTTCGTTGTGGAAGGATCTCGCTCGATAAAGAAAATCTTCAGGTATTATCAGAAAGTGACTGATTTTATTGAAAAGAAACATCCCGACAAGGTTCACACNTTTTCTACAGAAAGAAATGTCAAGAATGAGAACTTAGAAAATGCAGAAGAGATGACAAAAAATAGTTTGCGAGATTTAGAAAACGAGCATTCTAAATGCAACCGGTCTGAAGAAAAATCTGCTTTGTTTCAAAATGTCGAAACAAAACCGAGTCGAGTTAAATTAAGATTTGAAGAACGACTGGAAAAAAACCAGAAAAAAGCTGCCAAGTCTCCAGACCATCGGGAAAAAGAAGTGGAAGTCTTAAAAAAATTGGAAAATTTGACTGTGCAGAAAGAAAATGTAAGTTAGTATCCAAATAAAGGTAAATTTTAAATTTAGTAGAATATTTTATTTGCTTACATTATAATTTTTAATAAGTCAGGAACTATTAGTACCAATTGCATTATAATGTATTTCATTGTTCAATACAAAATTTGTATTAAAAATGATAATGTATATATCAATAAAATTACAAAATTTAAAACAATTTTAAGTTATCTTTTAATGATATGAAATTTTAAGTTAATCAGGAAACATTATTTTTTGTGAATATATTTAATATAAATTTGTATTTGTTACTTAAAAAGATTTGTTTTCCATTTCTGATTAACATAACGCAACAAAATAATTGAAAAAATATTTTATAGAATTCCGGATGGGGTTGGGGAGGTTGGAAGTCGTCCATACTTTCTACGGCCGCTTCTTCCGTATCTGTCTTTACGTCTCAAGTCAGTAAGTCATGGAGATTTTTATATATTATTTGTGATAAATGTAGTTTAAAGATTTAAAAATCTGCAAGACAAAATGCTGTGAGCCTTCAGGTATACCTATAAATATCTGTTTGTAATTTATAAACAGTAATTTATAGTATAATCATACTATAAATTACTGTTTATAAATTGCAAACAGATATTTATAGGTATACCTGAAGGCTCATAGCATTTTGTATAGCTATTTTGTATAGCATTTTGTATAGCTATGAGCCTTCAGGTATACCTGAAGGCTCATAGCTATAAATATCTGTTTGTAATTTATAAACAGTAATTTATAGTATAATCATACTATAAATTACTGTTTATAAATTGCTTATTAAACACAGAGTTTAAGTAATTACATTTTTTTCTTTTTGATAATTTTGAATAAATGTAGTCGCTTATAAGACTACAATATAACTTCTTCCAAATAATCTTAAATACAAAAAAGCAGATTGTTCTTAGTTTTCTAGAAGAAGAGAGATTTAAACCCATTAAAAAACTAGAAATAATCTCTTAATATACTTAGCCAGTCTGCATTGAAAATTTTTTTTTAAAATGTGTGAAAATTATTTACTTGGTCAGTAAGTCTAGATTTATCTATAAATAACATAGATTCAAAGTAGAAAACTTTTGTTTATTTTGGGTTTAATTATTACTTGGATTCCTAATAAAATTTCTGGTTTGGCATTGATATGTATGTTGCTTCACATACATCTGTTTCACTTCTTAATGGTATAATTAATACCTTGTTTTATTGAATTGGCTTAGATTCATTTCAAATTCAAAATCAATCTTTTCTTACTTCTATACCCACTACTAATTTTCCAAACTTGCATTTCAAACTGTTCTAACACAAGTCACAGCAAAACTGAAAATTTGTTCCGTTATTGATTTTGAAAATTTCCAAATTTTAATTTTTTTATTTGCAATAACAAAAAAGAATTTTTATTAATTTTGGTTGCTCAGATATAAAATGAGTTGATAAAAATATTAATTATAATAAAGTACTATTTTACAAATGACTAAATTTGTGGAGATCTGGATATAACTTGTCCTTGAGATTTTCAATTGCATTATGTTGGCAATATAAAAATGATTGAATAGTGACAATCAAACAGAAAAATGGTGTGTGAATACAGGATTTTCGTGTTGTGGTAATGGAGGGATGCAAATGTGGATATATTGTAAAGGGAGTATTTTTGTTGTATACAACTTTTAAATTATGCCAGATTATTCCCCAGCATATGGAGAATTTTATAATCACGTTTTCTACATGTAATTTAAATGACAGTCTGGGATCAAATATTAAACTGGGATCTTGAACACTATTGACTATTTGTAAGTTTTTGTTATCAAGAACTAAATTAATGTTGAGGGTGATCTGATAAGGCTAAAAATCATGATTTTTGTTTTTCTAGGATTTATTGAGATTTAATATCTTGAACAATTAGTTTACTTTATATCACATCACTTTGCAGTATGGGTTGGGAACAGTTAGCAATTTTAATATCATCAGCATTGTCATTAATGAATGAAGAGGAAATAAGGGATAATGATTTATCAATATAAGCAATAAACATGAGATTACTGAAGATGGAACTCTACAATATACCAATTAATGAGAAAATGAACAAAAGTGAAATTCAGATATTTTGATTTTATATGTATATAACAGAAAAAAATTAAGCCATAATGCTTTGGCTATGTCTATGTAAACTATATTTGTAGGATGTTTGAATTCAAAAATTGTTTAAAATTACATGTTGGATTTCTAGTGGTGGAATGATGATTTATGCTGGGATGTTGAGAAGAGTAGATGCAAGAAGTAATTGGATAATACATAGACTGATAGATTTCAAATAGTTTTAACATGGCTGGGGCAAGAGAAATAGGATGGAAGGAGTCAGGCTCTTTTTTAGGAATTATGGAGAGTACAGATTGCATCCACTGTAAAGGTATAAATTCCTGATTAAGAATCAAGAGATTATTTAAAAGAATTTTTTTTTTCAAATCACAAAATATTTCTACTTTACTTAGAAATCAGAAATATTACAAATTTTTCCTTGGAATTATCAAGAAGAGATCGGAATTTCTTCTGAAGAATTCCAAGTGTGTGTATAAAAAAGCATTGCACAATAGCCATTTAGTGTAAAATGGCTATTGTGCAATGCTTTTTTATACAGGGTGTATCAGTACAGCGGTTACAAACTTTTAGGAGAGATAGAATACACCTAGATGATGGGAAATCACATAGCAATGCATGGTCAGAAACACTTTCCTGGCACAGTAGTGACAACACAAAACACAAGAAAGGAAGGACATGAACAGGGCGAGAAAACATGTTTATTATTATTAGTACAGCAAAAATGCTGAGACGCCTTTGGCTGGAGATCATGTGAGGCCTGCATCATGGTCCAGGGTTGTAACTTCAAACACCTTCTTTGATTTTTGCTGTACTAAGAATAATAAACATGTTTTCTCACCCTGTTTGTGCCCTTCCTTTCTTGTGTTTTGTGTTGTCACTACTGTGCCAGGAAAGTGTTTCTGACCATGCATTGCTATGTGATTTCCAATCATCTAGGTATATTCTATCTCTCCTAAAAGTTAATAACCATTGTACTGATACACCCTGTATAATTACTTTGATGTGATTGAGCTTGATTAAGTTTGTTACAGTTACAACATTATGGATCAGAAGTGATACTCCAATAACAAAATTTTTTGCTTNTGTTGTATACAGCTTTTAAAATTATGCCAGATTATTCCCCAGCATATGGAGAATTTTATAATCATGTTTTCTACATGTAATTTAAATGACAGTCTAGGATCAAATATTAAATGGGGATCTTGAACACTACTGACTATTTGTAAGTTTTGGTTATCAAGAACTAAATTAATGTTGAGGGTGATCTGATTTCCCATCATCTAGGTGTATTCTATCTCTCCTGAAAGTTTGTAACCATTGTACTGATACATCCTGTATAATTACTTTGATGTGATTGAGCTTGATGAAGTTTGTTACAGTTACAACATTATGGATCAGAAGTGATACTCCAATAACAAAATTTTTTGCTTTAGTTCTCCCAGATGAAATGTATGGAGGAAAAAATAATTTCTGAAAGACATCATATATAATGAAATAAATATTATTTTTTATTTTAAATTAATTTATGAAATGATAGTTACAGAGAGCATTTATCAGTTCAAAATATATTAACAATGACAGTTTTAACATTGATTTCCAAAAATTTTGAAAATATTGCTTTAATTCTTGCCTAAAAGTTAGCAAACAAAATTTCACATTGAATAATTTTATTGAAAAGGTCAAGGACTGGGCACAGTCTTAGAGACGGTTGAGGCGACCTTGGGCGCTCCTCCCCCTGAAGAACTCGCTGCTTCTATAGACTCTAAAACAGAAAAAGAAAATGACCAAGGTAAGAAAATTTGAATATGTTAAAAACACAATACTATTTAAATGTTTTTTATTTGTTGTCATTAATTACTTTTTTATTAATACATACAGCAAGAGTATGTTTTTACAAGAAATTATTTGCTAAAATTTTGAGTAAAATATTTTTTTTTATTAGATGAAAATATCATAATTATTTAAAAAACTTTTTAAGATCCATTCATATTTAAATGATAAACTGTCTTCACAAAATAAATATGCTGTATAGTTGCAAACGTCATATGGCACTTAGATTATTTGTGATATTTATTCACAATGATTTGCATAAATTACAGAATTTAATGAGTAAACATTTTAAAAAGGGATTATACTATTGTAATACACAATGGTATTAAGTTGAATACAAATCTGATTTTAATATTTCTACAATCAATTGCTAATCAAAACTGCCATGTTTTCAGGTTACTTCATTGTATTAATTAAATTATAGAATTGAAATAACTTCCATCTGGTGTTTTATCTACCTTAAAATTGAATTTAATGTAATCGACTATGTTCTTGGTGGGTATAGTTATATAGTAATAACATTTATTTGGAAGCAAATATTGGATAGTCCATATAGTGTAAGTGATAAGAAAAGATGCAAACCTGTATAGCATAAGTGATAATCCAATTGAAGCAAGACTTGCAATTTCTTCTTGTTTCTTTTGAAATTTTCTGAATTAGAAATTAAGCCATCATCATGATTAAGATTAAATAAATAATGGCCTACTTTTTGACCAAATTCCATATTTTAATTAAGTAAATAGTAGTATAAAATGTAGCCAAATATCCAATAGTTTAGATTCATGCTTGACTTTTTAACTTTTACTAGGTAGCCTGTTAATTAAAATTGAAAATGATGAAATAATAATAGATAAGATGACGTGCAAACCCACATAATATCACTTATGCTATATGGGCTATCCAATATTTGCTTCCAAATACATGTTATTACTATTCAGTTTTCTTCTTCCAGATGGTTCTAAATTATTTAATAATTATTAATTTAGTTTAGAGATGGTGCCTAATGTCTACTTCTAGTAGCAAATTACTTTGTATTGATTATTTAGGTGATTGTTTGGTGATGTTTTTATAATACAGTATTTTGGAAAGTGTGGATAAACTACTTGTTATCTGTTTTGATTGATTTGATTATATTTCTTCCAGGCAGTCAGAGTTGAGTCTCTCCTCCTAAATTAATTATTAAATTTAGCAAGATATGGCACCTAATGCCTACTTCAAGACTAAATTAATTCGCATTTAATTATTGTGTTGAGTCATAAATAAGTTCTGTTAGCGGGTAGGTGTAAATGACTCAAATACTTGCCAGATGTTGTGTTACTTCAACTGAGTTTTATTAGTGGCTATTAGCAAATAGTCTGTAAATGTAAATTTTAACATTGACACATCAATGTTATAAAAAATTGTTTTTGGATTCATTTAAAATGGAACATTTGAAAGTGCACGTATGCCATATCATGTTGTGGGAGTTTAAACTCGGCAATAACGCTACAGAAACAGCAAAAAAGGTTTGCAATGTCTACGGCAGTGGTGCAATTTCAGACAGAGCAGTTCAAAAGTGGTTCACAAGTGGTTCACAAGATTTCGTTCTGGTGATCTATCCTTAAAAGATGAAGAAATATCAGGCTGCTCCTCCGACTTCAATGGTAATGTTTTAAAAATTCTAATTGAGCAGAATTCACGGCAAATGAGGAAGTTAGTAGAGATGCTGCACACATCCCAATCAACCATCAATCGTCACCTCCAAAAACTAGGAAAAGTGAGCAAGCTGGGCGTTAGGGTTCCGCATAACCTCAGTGAATGGAATAAGGCTGACACAAGATCGATAGCTGCTACCTTGCTTTCTTGGCAAAAAGAGGAATTTTTCTTTTTTTGCTAAAATTGTTACAGGAGATGAAAAGTGGATTGCATACGAAAATGTCATTCGAAAAAGACAATGGGTTGACAAAGATGATCAACCACAACTGGACCCTAAGCCCAGTGTGCATGGAAGAAAAATTTTATGTGTATGGTGAGATCGTCAAGGAATTATCCATTTTTTGTTGTCACACAATGAAACTGTTACTGCAAATGCATATGTACTGTACAACAGTTAGAGCAACTTCGCTAAAACTTAACAAGTGCAGGATGCTTTTCTTGAACAGAAAAAAGATCACCTTATTGCATGACAATGCAAGGTCACACACAGCAAAGATTACACAGGAAAAAATTTGAGTTTGGCTGGTCTGCTTTGCCTCATCCATCATATTCATCAGACCTGGCACCAACAGATTTCCATCTTTTCCGGGCACTGCAGAATGCTTTACAAGGGCAATGCTTCCAAAATGATAACCAGGTTCAAGGGTTCTTTGACTCGAAATCACCTTTATGAAAGGGGAATTGACAAGTTGCCTGAAAAATGGCAAGAAGCCATTAATATGTATTAGAAAACAGAACTTATTTATGACTCAACTCAATAGTAGCATTAATATATCCCAATGTAATCAGGAAATCATTTTGTTGTATTTAGCTTTCCACAATTACTACTAAATAATTTTGCCATAGGAATATGATGAAAAGCCATTTACATCATATTCCTAGGACATTGTTAAATGTATAGAATGGCTGTTGCATTGTTCATCAGACTGACAAATTTTGGAAAATATATTTAATATTTTCAGAATATTGTGTAAAAATTAATTTCTGTAACATGAAATAAATTAATCTTTCTGTTCATACAAAACAAACTGATTTTATGGACTGTAAGTCTATAAAATTAACTTATTTAATATAACTAAGTTTTTAAAACAAAATAGTTTGTAAACAAATGTCTTAGTTTAAGCTGCTCAAGAGAAATCTGAGATATTTTGTTATCCTTTATGTTTGTTATAAAAAGTTTATTCATTTCATTAAGTATGGAATAATAATAATTATTGTGATAGAGAAAGAAAGGAAAATGGAACAAGGTTCGTCGGGACTGTTTGAAGGCGTGTCGTCTTTGACCAAGGTCATCGAAAACACCGTAAGACCTATTAAAATAAATAACATGGTGGAAAATTCTCGGCATTTTTTAATGTGTTTTACCGGCATGTTACTGTAGGGTTCGAAAGTGATAATGGGCGGCCTGGACACCTTGGAATTGATCGGTAAAAAAACCATCGACATCCTGACAGAGGGCGATCCCGGATTTAGAAAGAAGAGGTCTTATTTTTCTGGCAGTAGTCTTTCTGAAGTATGTATAAATTTAAAATAATAGATTGAAATATAAATTAATTTGCTTAAATCAATAAATTATCCGAGGGTTTTGTTTAAGCAATGTATGTTTCAAATAATACAGTGATTACTAGTAACATTTCATTGGTTATTCATTAACTCTAAAAAGTTCAATCCTGGAAAACAGAGCTTTTTAATAATATAATCAACTTTCTTGGCAAAAAAAGGAATTTTTTGATTCTACCTGAATTTTTTACATATAAAATAAATGTCCTTTTCAAACACCTCAGGAACTTGACAAGTCAACAAAGTATGAAAAACACCCCAAAACAGATAAAGCATTCTTCTATTCTAGAAAACTTTTTCTTAAATAGTATATTTGTCCTGGATTTTTGTTATCAATTCAGTACTAGAGATATTTATTTACATTCCTTTTACAAAAGCAAAATTATTTGTCACAGTAAACCTCTATTCAAATTATAAAAAATAAAAATTTATCATTGTAATATCTTCCATTCAATAATTACATAAAACTTTTTTAATGTATAGTCTTTTATTTCCTGTGGGTGAGAAAGGATATAATTAATGTAAATATTATTGTATAGTCTTTGTTAATAGTTATATCTTCCATTCATTTTCCTCTTTTTGACAATTAAATTTCTTGCTACAACGTTCAAAAGCAATAGTCATAAAAATATGTATACACAGCACATTATTATATTACAAATTGTTTAATTTTCTTAAAAGAAAAAATTCAAATTACAGGAATAAATGATTGCCATAATTAATTGGGCTATTTTTTTACTACTATTAATAATTAGAAATTAAGTAATTTGGTATTAGAGGTAGACGTTAGGTGCCATCTCTTCTCGGAATGCCGAGGTAAAGTGATAGCTGACCGAATGCCATAGTGGATGATTATAAAGGCCACGGGCATAAGAGTCATCTCCGGTTGGTGCCATAAGTAATCGTGGATGGTTGTGCGAAGAATTGCTTGGAGATCTGGGTGGTGTAACTGGCAATGCCGACTGCACGGTAAGCAGGAGTTGAGGATTCAAATCTCACTTCTGGGCAATTTTTTCTTCCAGACTTATTACGCATCATCTCAATTAATAATTAGATATAATTTAATAATTTTAGAATAAATAGTAGCAAAAAATAGCCAGATTAATTATGGCAATCATTTGATTTATTATTAATATAATGGGCTTAGTGATGTTTATATACAGGAAAAAAAATTTCATGCATTGTTNTTTGCTCCATCACATTAACATCTGTGATTTCCTTCTCAAATGTGAAGCAAATCATAACTGGCAATGAGAAATGGATGGTATGCAAACAATCATGGAGTAGAAAAGATGAGCCAGCTCAAAGCACTTTAAAAGCTGATTTTTTTTAAAACGAATATGTGAATTAATAATTAGATATAATTTAATAATTTTAGAATAAATAGTAGCAAAAAATAGCCAGATTAATTATGGCAATCATTTGATTTATTATTAATATAATGGGCTTAGTGATGTTTATATACAGGAAAAAAAATTTCATGCATTGTTATTTGCTTAACTCCATTGCAATTATTTTTGATAACCAAAAATAAATCTTCTCAATTCTGATACTGTTTATAACTATCAAATCTCTGTAGAGAAGACTTTTATCAAAGAAAATCAGTTAATCCAATTGATTTAATTGAATTCGTGTCAAGTTTCAAACTGATCTAAGTATTTTAGAATTTTTTAAAACATGATTTCAGTTCAAAAATGATCATTATTATTTTTGTACTATGCCAAAAAGGGTAATTTCAATGATAAAATAATAATAAAAAATCAGTTAACAAACATTATACTTTAAATTTAAATTGTTTGTTGTTAATACATTTTTATGGACAAAAACCACTATTATTACGTAGGTTTTAAAAGAAGCAAAGGAGAAGGAAGTCTCTTACGATCCTTTGTCTGAAAAAGACGACGAAAAAAGCATTAATTATTCAGTACTTTTTGATAATTTCCAAGGTAAAGTTTTAATATTTAAATTACTTTTTAATTTTACTTCTATGATAATTACTATGTTTTCTCAATTTTATTGTGTACCCAATTTTAGTGATGCCAAAACTTTTTTAAAATTCTCACAAATGTAATAGAGAGGTTGAGGCGCACGTTTTAAACGTGTACGTGTGACGTTCGGCGCCGCTTTCCCGCAAGCCTAAAAGTTTGACGATGGTGTTTGGAATGTCGAGCATGATTCCACTGACTATCCAAACACCATCGTCAAACTTTTAGGCTTACGGGAAAGCGGCGCCACACGTACACGTTTACACGTTTAAAACGTGCGCCTCAACCTCTCTAGCTTCCCACGACTGCTCTTTCGGTGATGTAGGGCAAGCATTAATGTATTCAGATGACCATAAGTACATTTTTTCAAAAATGTTTTGTTACATGAACATTGTGAAGCACTGTAAACATATCTGAATAAATTCATTTATGACTCCATTAGTGGGTACAGAGGATCTGCAGACTAACACCAAATCACTGTCAAAATTTAACAAAATGTGATTAACATTTTAACAGCAGGATTTTACATTGTTATGAACAAGCATGAAATTTTTCAGATATACAGTGAATCCTCCATTAGCAGACACCTCTACTTAACTGATATTTTTACAATCCCCAGACCCTTCAAATAGGACATCTATTATATTTGCCTTTAAATAATGGATGCCATTTTCTGTAACCAACCTTATGAAAACAAAGTCATGTCTTCAATATTCTTTTAAGAATTAATTATGTATGAAATATTTTAAAACAACAACAACAAAGAATCAGATGATGAATTTTGACCATAGGCACCAAATAAAGACTGGCTTAAAATAGGAGTAGGGGAGGAGGGCAGGTTATAAGCAGTCAAACAATATTCTTTATCTGTTTGACAACTTAACCAGATTAATATGTATAACAATGAACAATGATAGAAGTTTAAAAACATTAAACTTCTCTGTCTTATTGTTGGAATTAAGCTTATGATACCAAAAGACTAAACTTTTCCAAAGTTATTCATTCATCAATAAGAACCATAGTATAGCAGTAATGAAAAAGAAATTTAAGATCATAAATGATGTCATAAATGCAAAAAAACTGAATATTTCGCACATTTTAAAGTGGTTGGCAAATCACCTTTTTAACACCACCTTTGAAATTTCATCAAATAAATGCTGTTGTGGTGACCATTTTAACATCTTTGCAGTGGCTAAAGTTAATTTTTAATAAATCAGTTACTGATAAAAAGCAAAAGATGTTTGAAAAGTTACACCTACTTGATAACTACAAAGCAGACAAATGATGTTATAAATGTAACAATTCCGAATATATTTCCCACCCCTTGAAGTGGATAGAAAATCGCCTTCATAACTCGACATTCAAACAAGATTTTTATAGTTGAAAAAAATAAATAATATAATGTATATATATTTTAATTATATATGCTATGTATACTTATGGATATACCTAAATTTGATGTTTTTGTAATCCATCGTATTCTCCATTTTATAATGACCATCTTAAAGTACAATGTGGCGGTCGGCATATACCGCCGAATAATGGACAAACTTCTCAGTCCCGAGAGTGTTTGCTATTCGAAGATATATAGATATTTTGGTGTAATACTATATATGTTCTTTGGCATAGCAGATAACTCTGTTTAAACTTAGCTTCAATTGGAGACTCCCCTATCAGGTGCCATAGTCAAAGACCACTAAATTAGTGAGAGGGACGTGTACCACGTTTCTGCCGACGACACAACACACACGAATTATTGAGCAAACGAAGCTGCATTAAGTTGAATTTGCAGTCGATTCTAATGAGTATCTGAATTTTAGAGACCAGAAAAGTCCAGAAAGAGTATGTATTAGAATTGAGAAAATAGTATAAGTTAAGTTGGAATAAAATTAATAGTTTTTAGAAGTAACTTACTAATTTTTATGCTAATGGAAGAGCTATTTCTTAAATTTTGTAACTATATATTATCTTGTATTGGGTTGTTCAGAAAGTAATTTTGCTTTTTTACCATGAGAGGGATTAGTTGTATTTTTACCCACTATTTTCCTTCTAAACCATATTGTCATTATATATTTTAACAGCTGACATTTTAAGTCTTTTGTAAAACATTTTGTTTAATTTTGTCAATTGATTATTTTTTGGTGTCCTATCAAATGTGGAAGAGCAAAAGCAGCATTTTCGGCATATTTTCCTTTTTTATTACCGAAAAGGTAAGAATGCTGTTCAAGCAAGAAAAATATTGTGTGACGTGTATGGAGATGATGTGTTGACAGAACGACAGTACCAAAACTGGTTTGCAAAATTTTGTTCTTGCAATTTCAATATTGAAGATGCATCAAGTTCTGGGAGGCCAGTTGAAGCTGATGAAGACAAAATAAAGGCATTGATTGAAGCAAACTGCCAAATAACAACACAAGAAATTGCTAAGAGATTAAATTTGCCCAATTCAACCATTTATGATCATTTGAAACAACTTGATATATGGATTCCACATGTTTTTAAAGAAAAAGATTTGCTCCATCACATTAACATCTGTGATTTCCTTCTCAAATGTGAAGCAAATCATAACTGGCAATGAGAAATGGATGGTATGCAAACAATCATGGAGTAGAAAAGATGAGCCAGCTCAAAGCACTTTAAAAGCTGATTTTTTTTTAAAACGAATATGTGATGCTCTCTGTTTGCTGGGATTTTAAGGGAATTTTTTTTTAGCTTCTACCAGACAATTCCATAATTGATTCAAAAGTGTATTGCCATCAATTGGACAAATTGAGTGGTATCATCAAACAGAAAAGACCAGAATTGATCAACAGAAAAGGTGTAGTGTTTCACTGTGATAATGCCAAACCTCACACAAGTTTGGTAATTTGTCAGAAGCCGTTACAGTTTGAATATGATGGGTGTGGTAGCACATCCCATCCACCAGATCTGGCATCCTTGGATTATTACTTATTCTGGTCTTTACAAGATTTTTTAAATGATAAAATATTTAATTTAAATGAGGATGTCATAAAAAACTGATTAAAGTGATTTTTAAGCAAAGATCAGAAATTTTATGAATGTAGAATCATGCTACTACCAGAAAGATATCAAAAGGTATTATTAAAGGAGCAAAATGGTCAATCTTTATATATAAATATTTTATTGAATCATAAGTTTTTTTTTTTGTGGAGAAAAAACAAAACAAAATTATTTTCTGAACAACTATATATTTGAAATGTGCAGACTAAGTTATTTTATCATACAAACATACTATACAGTCCCCATAACACTGTCGATAATTCCGTTTTATATGAATTCCATGTTGTACAAGTCACTTAGATTTTAAAAATGCGTGTGCTGGGATGTGAATGGCTCACGTATTTGTAAAATCTAAGTGATCGTACAACATGGAATTCATATAAAATGGAATAATCAACAGTGTTATGGCTACACAGTGTTATATGTTATGTACACAGTACTACAGTGTTATGTGCTACCACTGTACTATCATATCTCTGAATTTTATAGTCACCAAATTAAACTTACTAATAATTTTTCAGCTAAAAGCAGCCTTTTTATTCCTCTCCTTAAACATCCAGATATATTTATTATATTTTTACTTTTCATATTTTACCAGACTGCATCATTTAAACACATCTATAAAATTACTTTAAAAACCATAACTACATAAAACTTTTTCAAAAGGCTCGGTGAAGCTAGATAATGTTTTTGGTGGCTAATGTAAGGATATATTGCTTACTGTTTTTTTTACCTTGTTTAAGAGGGATAGACATTATAGTAATATTCCCATTCCAGGAATAGCTTATTTAGAAGCTTTAGAATTACTGTCCAGACAAAACAAAAGCAGAGTTCAAGAGTTCTTAATTTCTGAATCGGACAGACGGAAAACTAGAGAAGAATTCGAGGAGTGCAGGCTTATCTGTGAAGATTTGCTTTCTGTTGACGATGCATTAGGTAATATTTGTGGCAATTATGGGAAATTTTTTTACTGTTATTAGTTTGTATGGTTAACGGCAGATTTCTTTTACAGACGAGGATGACGATCACGAATTTGTCCGACTCGTCGAGGAACGCATTGATAACATTAAATTGGATGTAAATATTACAGGTTTTCTAGAGGTTGGTTTTAGACGATTTTTGTTTAAAATTTTCCAATTTTAAAAATGAAAAATTGTTTTTTATATAGTTATTAATGCAAGAAATTCGCAAGAATTTATTTTTAACTAAAAAATTTACATTGAATTTTAATTATAAGAAATGTACCCACACTTTTTTTTATAGAAGATAGTTGTGCATGGTTCAGAAGGTTAACCTTCTGAACCATGCACAACTATCTTCTGTAACTTCTATAACTTCTCTATCTTCTTTAACTTTTATAAAGCAACATAGCATCATAACATTGGGCTGAAATTTAAACAAAAATTGTAGACCTATAAATTCCTGTTTGTTCTCAAGATTAAAGAAGGATAGACAGAGTTAGATAGATGAAAGTTGAGGCCCTGATTTCATATATAGTCAGTCAATCATGCTATTTCAAATAAAAAATTTTCCCCCAAAAGGAGTTACTTAGATGACTGGTATGACTCAATTGCTAGCAGGAAAAGTATGATGCACAAGGGCAAGGCACCACTAATTTGAAATAGAGAGCTCATAATTTAAATTAAATAAATTTCAGCTTGTCATTGTGACAGTGTCGCAACAAATAATTGCTTGTATTCATTTCAAAATAAATATGGAGATGTTTCAAGAATAAAAATTATGACAACAATTTTTATGCAATTGTGTAACAGGTTTTTGCATATAACTGAGAATTGTATGTTCATAAGATTTGAGAGAGATACATATAAAACTGAAGACCCAAAATGCAAGAAACAATTGCCTCAGCCAAGAATCTATGTTGACTTAAAATCTTTTGACATTGTGAAATTGCTGGTATTTCAGTTAAAATAAAATTAGGTTGGAAAATTGTTATAAATAACAAATATTTCTATTGGCAATAGGTTCAAAAAAGAATTCGTGACTGGCTGGAAGAATGCAAAAAAGAACAAGAAAAAACAACTTCAAAAGAACCAAAGGTGAGTAGTGATTTATCAGAGAAAGAGCGCACTATATTAAAATTGCATAAATCATAATGATAAGTTTAAAATAGCTTTCTATGTCATTGTTCACACAGTAGGCTATTTGAAAAAAAATGTCACTTGTCACAATTGAGATAAACAATAAAAAATACTTCTATTCAAGTTTTAAATCCATTAGAGTTCCGCAAATGCTACCTTATCTGAAAACATTCTTCTTTTACAAAACATTAAAAGCACAGTCACAGGATATCAACACAAATTATAAGGGCATTACTATGATCTATGGAGTTCCTGCCTGGATTCTCAACTGGGTCAATCCCATCCACAAACTACCCTATGCTAAATTTTGATTTTGAATTCTCATGTGCTGCAGTACAAGAATTCTAAAACTTCCTGCAATTTTTTCCAAATATCTTGGAAAAGCTTTGCCCATTTTGATCAAATAAGAAGTGTGTTACATTACATGTAATTTTTTACATGCATGTGTACTACATGAAACAACCAAAACAAGAATTATTCAAATCTTTATGCCCTAGTGGAGCCTGTCACAAGATGAATAATGTACTGTCTAAGAGTACATTGTCAGTATTAGTTCTGTGCATGTAATGATCCTATTACTATTTGTGTAATTAACTTGCTAGATAAGAACCAAACATAGTTTGGAACCACTGTTAGTGTGTTTGCACTCAAAAAGAGCAAATACTTTGTGCCATGGAATAAATTTGTATTATCAAAACGTTGAATTAAAAGAAGTATATTTTGTTATTTTTTTTTACTATATTTCAGAAGTTTGTTAAACTATTGGAGGAGCTCTGTGATCAACCCATCACCCAGTTTAGTAGTATACTGTAAGGTCTCTTTTTATGCAGATTATTTTTATGCGATTTTGAAGTTGTGCGGTTTGTATTTCATCCAAAAATTTCTTGGACAAACATGCATATAGGCTTGTTTAGGAAGCCCGCTTATAGACAGTCTCCAAAAATCGTGGAACGCTCAAAGCTCACTCCATTTGTTCCGCTGACATATAACGTTTATGGATGTAAAGGACAGCTAGATCTACCTTAATCGCTTTAGTTCCTAGCAATTTTTGATATAAATGTAATTAAACATAAAAAATACTTAAAACTGAAAAAACGAAAGAAATGTGTTAATTTTGAAGAAAAAGCTTCAAAGTTTAACTTCCTTTGTCTTGCCCTTCTGTGAAATTTAACACAGATGAGTTATTGTTTACACATCTGGATGACCTTGAACATAGCTGGAATTGGATTTCCCAGGGCATTCTCAGATGTCGTGGGAGGACAAGGGTTTGAAGTAGGGTGAACAATAGCTGGCCGTATATTTTTAAATTTTAAAAAAATTTGGAGACTTAAAAAAACATTCCAAAAATTCAAAAATGGCCTTAAGGACCGTGTTTTATGTAACGCTATGTAACCTGCCCGAGTTAACTCGGGAGAGGAACTAAAGGAGTTTTAATTAACTCTTCACATCCAGATGTCAGTGATTTGTTTTTAGAATGAGCTTTTGCAATTCGGGGATTCCCCTTGTACTGTACATGATACTTACCATCGATAAGTCGCTATTACATCATTCTGAGTTTCGCATTGAAAGGTATAAACTGTAATTGTTTTGAAATTAAATTTTATATGAATTTCTTTCAGACATTCGAAGTAATTTATTAATTAAGCAGCCTATTTCTTTTAATTTCTGCAAACTTTTTTATGCGGTTTTAAGTTAATTTTAACTCGTTGTTTTGGTTTTATGCAATTTTAGAAAATTATGGGACGTATCCCTACTTTTTCAAGGCAAGCAAAGTCTTTTTTTATGCGAATTTTTTATATGCGCTTTTCTGCAGAATGTATCCACCGCATAAAACGAGACCTTACAGTACTAGTGTCTTGTACTTTAAATTTAATCTGTTTCGGAAGGCCGTTTGAAGTCCAAATCAATTTTTTTCCATTAGAAACAATGGAAAACAAGTTAATCCATTCCCTGACCCTGAACAGTATCAGTTTTGATAAATTGTGTGTATTTGCCGTTTAAGTTAAGTTTAATAAATTAAAACACGAAAACAATAAAATACATAAATGCATTTTCATTTTATTATACATTATTAGGTGCATACCATTGACGACTGCTGCCAGATCCTTTTACCTCATCATACTACAAGCTTCCTCTTAGGCTTTTTTGCAATGGTCACTAGGAGATATACATATAACCAAACACCGAAAACAAAAGTGTAATGCAGTAGACTTTGACACACAGCAGGCATTTACACAAGTGCATTTATTCACTTCTTTACAGTTTGAATGTAAAAACATCATTCAAACACTAGTTCAAATCTAATGTTCAAAATTAGAATTGTTCAAAGTGCAAGGTTTAGACTTATCTAAAAATAAAGCATGCTGCAGGATTATTATGTTATGGTGTAATATTTTGATATTTTTATTTATCTTTCATTTGCCAACAGTATAAAAGCCATCTTTCATAAAGAGTAGTCAGTAATAAAGTTTGCAACAAATGACACGGAACATTAAAAGAGAAAAACAATAGCATTGGAGACAAGTGAAAATAAACTCAAATTCAGAATTTTTGGTTTTTCTAATTAAATACACAAACTTTTTAAACTAATTTTACACTAACTACTTTGGATACATAAAAAAAAAAAGTTAAATGATTGTTTCCAAAAATATAAAAGTAGGGAAATCAAGAGGTGGCAATTTAACCCCGTACAATATATAGGATGGCAGTCACATGGAGAAATTTTTTACAGGAAATATATGCAGAGGCAATGAAGTCCTTGGCCGAATTTACGGCCAGATCCGTCGAACTTTACAAAAGGATTGCGGAGTTGCTGCTGATAAGAAATGCGGACGTCGTCTCTTCCACTGTCTATGCCAAAGAATTAACAGAGTAAGCTATTTTTAGGTTTTTAATTATTCGTTGACTTTTTGCATAAACATTTTTTTATTTTTAGGATGTCCAAAGTACTCTGTTTAGAAGTAAGAATTGTAGCAAACCATTTTAGTCAATGTCTGAACACAGCAGCCGTAAGATACGAAATTATTTTTAGGACATTTTTATTTAATCTTAATCTAAAAGTAATTTGTTCTTTTTAGGACGATTCTCCCGATCCCGATTCGGTGACCCCACTTATTACGAGTATTTATTTAGAGGTAACATATTTATTCTGTATTACCTTATAAAAACTAAATTAATCAATGATTCTAAGCAATATTTTAGAAAATCTGTACTATAATTGCAAACTAAACACTTCGGGACTTAGCCCCTCAGCTTCTACTAATGATTAATGCTGAATTGCTAAAACCGTTCACCAATAAATCTTTGAGTTGCACATTTTTAATAGTATTTGTGCAGTACTGCCTTTAATGACAACCCAGTGTATAATTGAAGTAAGAAATGCTAGCAAATAACAATTAAGCAATCAGTCTAGTGCCTTAAATGTTTTGTTATTGGTGGCGAGTTAGCACTGACATCTCTTTAAACAAAGAATATTTTATGACAGTTCATTGTAATCAAGGCTGCCTTCTTTTCTCTAAAATATAAAGATTTCATTTTCAATAGAAGTAATGGCCAAATCTTAGTTAAATTTAAAGGTATAAATTGAAGTCTATGTTACTTTTACAGGCATCGAACAGTTCGACTTACATTCAGGATGCTTTCCAGTTGTTGATTCCAACGTTTCAAGTGATGGCCATCAAACAAAGTGAATAAATGTTGTAATTTAAAATTATTTTTTGATGATAAAATTTTTGTTAAAATACTGCTTTTTGCCTTTTGTTTTCTTTTTACAAAACACAGTAGATTGCTAGATTTTACACTCTGTCTATAGTGAAAAACTTATGAACTACTATGATCTATCCTGATTAATTCTTTTTATCATGGAGTTAAGAAATATCACATTTACATTATTTTAATTTAATCCAATCTTGAAGCAAGATCATTAAAGATGGGAATTTGTTACTTTTTGTTTTATCAGTTGCCATTCTGTAAAGAACACAGAGCAGTGTTTCCAATCATTGTAGAAAGACATACTGAGGAACTGAATTTCATCCCCATGCCACCAAACTGGCAGCAAAACGTAATACTGTTTGAGATTTAACATAAGGCATTACGATTTAATAGAGAGGTTGCAGCTGATGTTTTCATCGTGGAAACATGTACGTCGGATGTTCAGCACCGCCTTCCTGTAAGCCTAGAAGTTTGACAACGGTGTTTGAAACGTCGAGCATGATTCCACTGACATTCCAAATGCCATTGTCAAACTTCTAGACTTGCAGGAAGGTGGCGCTGAACGTCCGCCGTACACGTTTTCACGATGAAAACGTCGGCCGCAACCCCTCTAATAATTTGGCAAATACTTTAAAAGAACTTTATACATTATGAAATTACTCAATTAAAAATTAGGATAAACAACTTTCAATTCAATTAACTACATCCAAACTGTCTTTAATGATCTTTTCCTTCCCGTTTTACACTTTCTGACAAAGTCAGACCCTTTGCGTCCTTTATTTTGCTATTTTGGTAGAACATTTTTTTGGGCATTTTAAATCCTAGCTGTAGGTTTTTATTTGCATGAATACGTTCTGCTGACTCTGCCTGTTCTTTTGCCATCAGTTTAATTTTACGAGGATGCTTCCAATATATGCCACTTGTTTCCGCTCTTCTGTTCTGCAGTCCTCATTTCTAAGATGGCAAAAGATATCCTTAATTAACAACACTGCTATTTCTTTACAGAAGATTTTAGTTTTCTGTAAGAAGTACGAGATGGAAGATTAACAAAGTTAAAATGTCAAGTTTGGAAAACTTGTTTCAAACAAAAGAACAATTATAATGTTGATTTGAAACAAGATTAACGTGCATGGTAATTTTACCATTTAAACATAAAAGTCAATAAATAAATTAGCACATATTATCTAGGCATTGTCTAGAAACTAACAAAGGACCGGTAGCTGGTGCAAACCTTTCATAAATTTAATAAGGAAAAACCATCATCTTCCCTTATTAAATTTGTCAAAGGCTCGCACTGGTGACTTAGCAAGAATACGGTCATGCAGAGAATACAAAACTTATGAGGTAAATTCCTGCAAGAATCAAATCCAGGCACTTTAAGATTAAATTCAGAAAACAAAATTATCTCCTTAATTGAATTAATTGCAAAGCTCTGGACATTGTTACTGGATTTATAAATGTAATGTATCCAATCTTCTTATTATCCAATTTAATAATAGGTGGTCACCATTTTGCCAGATGCCTTTTCAACAACATACACTTAGTTTCCTGACAGACAAAACCATCTTAGACTTTAATCACTCAAAGAATCTTTGGAGGAAAAGTGGCGATATACTCTAATTTCCTATGACTCTCTGCAGGTATCGACAATACCAAATCGTCTGCATACAAACAATTCTAAAGTTTCTCAATATCCTCAAACATCCATTATAAAATAAATTCCACAATAAAGGTCCCTGGACTGAACCTAGAGGGCATCCCCCTCATTACATTCTTATATACTTTATTGACGTCTTTGATTACTTTGAGAATGGAAAGGTTGTATTAATAAAAAATGATATAATACAAATCTTTCGGACAATTGCGTATCCTCAATTCATTTAGCACCGAGGGCTACCGTAAATAATCCAATGCACCCTTAATGTCGGTAAAAACACTGAGAACATATTAATTATCCATAGTTTCTATATTATTTTTAATATAGAGTAAAGTGTCCTCCGTCCACAAATGCTTTTTTCATCCAAATCCTTTATTACAACGAATAATTATACGATAAAATAGTTTTCCCAAAAAGGAAACCTATAGTTAGAATTAATTGCAATTAGATTACTTTGTGCTAATCAATAAAGTATCTATTATTAATTTTATACTCTTGTAATGTTTGTTTAATTTTTATCTTCTCGCACATTATTTTATACAGGAGATAGTGTTACCAGCTGTCTGGTTTTCACCCAGACAGTCCGGGAATTGACTCACTGTCCTAATGAACTATTAATTTTGTCCGGGAATTTCGTAGAAATTGTGGAATTATGATGAAACAAAGTTCTTGCAAATATTTTTACAAATTTACACTATTTTAACAGCAAAAGAACTCACACTCACTGAAACTCATCTGCAGTTCTGCCATGTTAGTCTGTTTATTCCAACATGTGGCATGCAAGCTGCAATAGAGCTAAGTTATCCATACCTGTTCTTTCTTAATTTATGTTACTTATGTTACTCCTACACAAGTCCCTAACTCTGACTTACAACTGGCATGCATGTTATTCTTTGCATGGTAAAATGACGTTGCGCATGCTTCAGGAACTTCTGTTCGAACAAACCTGACCGTTGCTTACAAGATAAGAAAGACTATTGCATTTCAAGAATGCGCAGGGGGACAAAATGGTTTCTCATGGTGGCCAGCAGGGGCGCTGCTACATCCCTAAAGTCCAAGCGTTGCAACAGTTAGTTCCTTGTATATATTGTTGCTTATGAGTAATGCTCGCATATGTTTATTCTGATTTATACTAGAGAAAATGTGCAACGGGATTATGTACTAAATGCATTTGCAATCCACTCGTTTATGGAGAACACAGATGAAAAGAATTATTACTTCCTTGAGAAAGTTACTTTATGAAACAATATTGTACCATACCTGTCATCTGGTGTTCCCGTTTTTTATACTTAATCACTGTAAAGTGAAATGTCTCGTCCACAAGGACGATATTAATTATGTAGTATATAGTCCTTGGTTGCTATAAGCATGTTCTGAATTACGTGACAGAATGCAATCGGTGTGAATAGGGCATGGTACTTTGTCGTCTTATATTTTTTTAATTCAGCAATAATAAAACAAAAAGGCACAGAGTTAATTTAATATAANGAACATATTATATATCCATATCTATATTAAAAATAATAGAGTAAAGTGTCCTCTGTCCACAAATGCTTTTTAAAATCGTATTGTTTCTTTTCGTCCAAATCGTTTATTACAACGAATAATTATACGATAAAATAGTTTTCCCAAAAAGGAAACTAAACACAGATGATGATACGACTTTGGATCCTCTCTACTTTTACTTCCACCTTTATATATAAAGATTGCTTTGCCCACTTTCCTTATACTGTATTAGGAAAAACAATATCTAATACAACCTTTATGTAAATAATCGTGAATTTCTAACTATTCCGGGAACCCTGGAATCTTGCAATACCCTTTTAATATCATCTTTAGTTAAGTCGGTATCAATATCATTATACCTGGCAATTGTTCTTGTATGTCATTATTTCCTGACGACGGCATCATTAATGTATCTAACCTATAGTTAGAAACTTCGTGCTAATCAATAAAGTATCTATTATTAATTTTATACTCTTGTAATATTTGTTTAATTTTTATCTTCTCTCACATTATTTTATACGGGAGATAGTGCTACCAGACATCCGGTTTTCACCCGGATGTCTGGGAATTGACTCACTGTCCTGATGAACTATTAATTTTGTCCGGGAATTTCGTAGAAATTGTGGAATTATGATGAAACAAAGTTCTTGCAAATATTTTTAATAATTTACACTATTTTAACAGTGAAAGAACACACACTCACTGAAACCCATCTGCAGTTCTGCCATGTTAATCTGTTTATTCCGACATGTAGCATGCAACCTGTCGACTTTTTTTTTTTTTTTTTTGCATGTATGATTGTACACGTCTCCAACAGAGCTAAGTTATCCATACCTGTTCTTTCTTAATTTATGTTACTTACGTTACTCCTACGCAAGTCCCTAACTCTGACTTACAACTGGCATGCATGTTATTCTTCGCATTGTAAAATGACGTTGCGCATGCTTCAGGAACTTCTGTTCGAACAAACCTGACTGTTGTTTACAAGATAAGAAAGGCTATTGCATTTTGAGAATGCGCAGGGGGACAAAACGGTTTCTTGTGATGGCCAGCAGGGGCGCTGCTACATCCCTAAAGCCCAAGCGTTGCAACAGGTAGAAAAAGCTTCTTAGTTCCTCGTATATATTGTTGCTTACGAGTAACGCTCACATATGTTTATTCTGATTTATACTAGAGAAAATGTGCAATGGGATTATGTACTAAATGCATTTGCAATCCACTCGTTTATAGAGAACACAGATGAAAGGAAATATTACTCCCTTGAGAAAGTTACTTTATGAAACAATATTGTACCGTACCTGTCATCTGGTGCTCCCGTTTTTTATACTTAATCTCTGTAAAGTGAAATGTCTCGTCCACAAGGATGATATTAATTATGTAGTATATAGTCCTTGGTTGCTATGAGTTCTGAATCACATGACGGAATGTAATCGGTGTGAATAGGACATGGTACTTTGTCGTCTTATATTTTTTTAATTCAGCGATAATAAAACAAAAAGGCACAGAGTTAATTTAATATAAAACAAAAATCCATTTGTTTGTATTTATATCTTTTTTATAAATTTATAAAAATTTCAAGTGTCTTACATTTGATTTTAAATAGAAAAAAAATCTTATTACATGATGTAATACTTGGTTTCAGTTACATGTCATAACATAAAAGCTTATGATTTGTAGAAAAATAAGAGTAACTGTGAATTTCTTTAGTGAAATAATCTAAAAAATTTTCTCATTAATTAAAAATTAATAATTTAAGAAATCATATCTCAGGATTTAGAATGCATGAAAAAAAGAATAATTACTAATAAACAATAATTTTATAAATTTTTATGGAAAGATTTTCACACACACAATTTTTATTCATAGACTTTT